AACAGAACACCAGCTGAAGCCTGCCGAGGATGCCGTCAGCCCGTGCGAAGCGCCGGAAGTAACATCGGTAGCCGGCCGGAGAGAAAAGCAACAGCAACAGAACGCATGCCGCTGGGTGCTGGTAGGCAGCCCCCTCCCAAAAATGAATTGTGGCCCTAGATTAGGTATAATTGGTATATATCCTCTGTAAACTGCTCTGAGACCCTCCGGGGTCAAGGGCGGTATAGAAATCGAAACTATAAATATATAAATATAAAAAATACCATACTAATTGAAGATTCTGATATTTCATAGTAGGACCTGTTCAAAAGAAAAATATCAAATTCCTTGTTTCTTATACACAAATTAATTCATACTTTACATTTAATAATATCTATTTTATATACCTACAACCAAACATCTTAAGGACTCATCTTTGTTTAATATTTTGTTGTTATTATTATTATTTCATCACATAAAGGAGACCTTCTAAATAAATCATTACATAATCATTACTACAGTTCCTCCTACTCTATCTACATATAATTACTCATATAAAATCATTACCACCACTTACTATCTACTAAGCAGTAAATCATATTATATAGCCACAAATTCATTGAGCAAACAACTATAAATATACCCAGCTCTCTTTCTCAGTTCAATTCATTTCATCCTATTTAAGCTGCCCACATCTTTCTGGCATTAATAAAAAACCCAGGAAAATTATTCTACTACACAATATACCATACTTTACTGCATTTCTTCCCCCTCTACCTAGTTATAAGTATTCACATATTATTATTGCCAACACTTTCTACCTACTAATCATTTAATCATGTTGTATAGCCACAGATTATTTGAGCAAGCACAGAAATTAGCAGCAGCAGTTCACAGCAATTAACCAACAAACAATATACCCTAATATCTTTCTCAAGTCCTTTTAAAAAATATTATTATTGTTATTTCATCACATAAAGGAGACCTTCTAAATAAATCCCTACATAATCATTACTACAGTTCCTTCTACTCTATCTACTTATAATTACTCATATAAAGTCATTACCACCACTTGCTACCTACTAATCATAAAAAACATATTACATAGCCACAAATTCATTGAGCAAGCAGCCAAAAGTATGTCAGAATATGAATATAGAGGCACAGGTGCAGAGATGATGTTTGCATGTATAAAGTTAGGTTGCGCCTGCAAACTACTTGAGGATTCAAGCTTGATAGATGTGGGTGTGTACTGAGAGGCTCTGTCAGTCTTATCTGTGTGAGGCAGCCTGAACTCTGATTGGCTGTCGTGACTGTCTTGGTCATACACAGAGATTCTAAGAGTGACAGTTATTCAATTACTCTCTGTCAGTTGGTCTGTCTGTGAGCACAACTGTTGTTAGCTCTATGTTAATATGTTATTATATACAAAGTTATTGTTTAATCATTCACCAGTTAATAGTTATATAAACACCATTTGACTTAACCGTATTTGGTGTGTTTATTTTGAGTCTTCCACGAAACTCTTTAACAACAGGTATATACCACATACCTGCAACAAAGTATACCCTGATATCTTTCTCAATTCCATTCATTTCATCCTATTAAGCTGCCTATGTCTTTCTGGCATACAAAACAGAAAGTTATTTTACTAGATAGTGCACCATACTTTACTGCATTTCTTCCCCCTCTATCTAGTTATCAGTATTTATATAATATTATTGCCGATATTTTCCTACCTATTAATTATTTAGTCATGTTGCATAGCCACAATTAATTAAGCAAGCACAGAAATTAGCATCAGCAGTTCACAGCATTTAACCAACAAATAATATGCCCTAATATCTTTCTTAATTTCCTTTCATCTCATCCTGTTAATCTTCCTACATCTCTCAGGTATAAAGGCACAAAAAATTATTCTACTACACAATATATAATGCTTATTGTTTTTCGTTTTCAATGATACATTTTTTTGAACAATCACAATCAAATGCCTTAACTCTTTGTATTCATGAGTCATTATTTCTCTGGTTTGCCATCTCAGTTTCATTAACTTCCAACTTCAGTTCTCTCTTACATCTAGTTTTTTTCCTTGCCAAACACCTTTCTCTCCTTTTAATCCCTCTCTTCATTTCTTTATATATTTTCTCTCTGGAGCCTCTCTTGACCAAGTCCAACACCCTGGAATATCCTAAAGGTTTCTTCTGTCCACCTATTCGGTTAGAACTGCTCCTTTTTCTTTTTATAAGTGAAGGTGGAGTGCCTTGTAATTCTTTCTCATTACATAAGTCTCCACAAGAATTGCACTCCTCTTGCAAATTCTGTAGACTCTGCGGAGCTTTCTCTTCATCCCTCTGATCCTGACGCGAAATCCGGTGTCTTTTAACACAGCTTTTCCAAGCAGTCTCCACAGCTTGTTGGATTTCATCTTGCAAATTTTTTTAAAATTGTTCTATGGTAAGCTGCCCAATTTCAATATTGTCAAAGTTTCCTCCCTCCTCATTCTCTCCTGTTAGTACGGCCTCGTTCTTCTCCACCGTTGCCATTTTACTCAGTCTTTTCACGTATTTTCAGCTTACAAAGTTCCGTAGTTGGAGAAATTTCTTCGGGGGCTATTCTAAAAAGTTTCTTCGCCAGTTTATAGTTGAAACCTTTTTTCTTTTTTTCTTTTCCTCCTCCTTTTTGCTGTATATTTAATTTTTACTTCTTGCTTGAGTTAAAAGGACGGTTGGCTGCGGCTGCGCAGAGCATGGCATCCATGGTCTACCCTGCAAGCCGCTCCCGCTTCAGGGCAGTAATGGTCACCCCCCCATTTGCCAGCTAAGGGAGGGGCCAAAACAGAGCCCCCTGCTCCGAACCTCTCTTTGGGTGGTTCGTCGGAGTTCTCCTGGCGACCATGAGACTCCAAAAAGGAGCGGAAAAGGTTCAGGTGGCTCAGCGCTAGCTGAGACCCGTCTGTCACCGCGCCGTGCTGGACTGGAAGCCCCCCAGATGGGCCATTTCCTGTTGAATGGTCTGTCTGATAATGGCCATAAGATCAGAGGAATGAACCAAGACCCCTTGTTCAAGGAGCTTACCCGTCTGCGAGCTGCCATCCCGCATCTGCTCTTGATGCAATAGGTTATGTATTTGGTCAATGACAGTACTAATAAACTGATTGATGCAATAGGGCCGGAGAGGAGCAAAGACGTCCTCCTTCAGCCCCCATGGCTCCCAGGGTCGCTCCTGCCAGAGGTCCAAGGCTCGAGGCCGAATCCTTAAGATGGCTGGCAGCGGCCCGAAGGCGCGCATGCAAAATGGCGGGCTCATCTTCTTCGGGCTGTCGGTGGCACTTCTGGGCGCTCCACGCCACTCCAGCCGCCAATGTTGGGAGTGCACTATCAAGCCGCGAAGGCTGATCAGCCCCAAGGTCTTCCTGTGCCGCTGGCGGTGCGGTGCACGCCTCTCACTCGTCGCCCGCGGAAGAAACCTCAGGAAGTTCCTTTGCCACCATTGTGGCTCGTCTTTCCTTCGGGTCAGCGGACCCCTGAAGCTTTCGCTCCAAGATTGGAGCAGAAACCAGGAAGTTAGAAAGAAAAGGAGAGGAGGAAAAAAGGAAAAAGGCAAGGCAAAGGCAATGAAAGAGAAAAAAGATGATTTTCTAAGCTACCGCTAAACCTAGCTAGATTGTGCTGCTTCTCCCTACTAAGGCAGGAACAGAACTGGAGATGGATATTCCGGAGGCACCAACAGGAAGGGGAAAAAACCATTTCCTGCCTCCCTAAAGGTACGGTGGGAATAACCCATGGAGATGTCCTCCACCTCAGAGGGAGAAGGGAAATGGTCTTAGACTCCTCAAGAGTCAAAAGGAAAGTTGTAATCCCAGAAGGGAGGTATTTAAATACAAGAACAAAGTACTAACTTCCAGAAAAATAAGATAGTTATATGAAACTTTATTAAGACACATTGTTGCTGAAAGAAATCTGAGACAAACAAACCTCTCACAGGTAAGAACTGAGTCTCTAAGGATGTGGTCACATACATTAACTAATCCACTTTCAGTGCACTTTTCAACTGGATTTTGACAGTTCACACAGTTAAAATCCAGTTGGAAAGTGCACTGAAAGTGCACTGAAAGTGGATTATTTAGTGTGTGTGATCACAGCCTATGAAAATAAGCTCTGCTGCCTGTTCAAAATATTATGATTTGTATAAACAACAAAATGCATCTCAGTTTCTCGTCCCCTGCCTATTCCTAACCCAACTATGCCTTTTCAATAAAATCAACACTCCTGTTTGAACATTACCTCGTGTCAAGTGCCATTTTCAAAGGGAATTTATAAGAGGGCTCCTACTTAGCTACAATAAATCTCCGGCCTGGGCAAAAGCCAAATAACTGCTCTATCACAGGGTGGGACACGCAGAAAGTTATAATTCTGTTATTATAATACACTACTAAGGGACTGCTCAGAGTATGGAACAGCATTTTTGTGAGAAAATCTGCCTCACATTCCCGCTTTTTAAAAATGCCAGTTTTGCAAACACATCTTTTGAATTTAACCATATAAATGAGATATATAAGCAAATTTCAAAACCTATTTTGCAAAGTTTATTCTACCGGAATAATGTGAGGAGGATTCCCCCCCCCCCACAGAATTTGAAGGCAAATATTTTCCATTTTCACCCTCATAAAGACCTAATTATGTGTACAGAAGTGCTGGAAGATGAGCTGACATAGTTCTGTAAGTTTCAAAATTCCTGCCAATAAGTTAAAAACAAATGCCTCCTTCTCTGGGCAAGCTGATACTTCTCTAGTGCACTCTAACTTGCCATTCAATCACTCTCCCTACTTAAAGGTAACAACTGCAACCAACTTTAGAGACTAACAATGGGTGGTTGTAAAGCAAATTCTGTAGTGGTGTTACAGGACCAGACCAGCCTTTGACAATGAAGAGGAGGAGTAACTCTGTTGAAGTATTTCTGGCAAATGTATCAGGGAAAGGATTATGCTAAATATTTCAGACCACACACCACCAACTTACCAGGAGGAACCGGTAGTTCAGAAAAATTCACTTTTCTTCCTGCTTTATGGGCTCTTATGGCATCTTGGTATTGCTGTAATAAGGCATGTCCATTAGAATAAGACCTGGTTACAGAGCTTTTTGAAGCACAATAAATAGTTTATCTCCCAGATGCCGTATCACATCATCTTGTTGTCATTGCAAGGAAGATACTGCATTTTGTGAGCACTTTATTTTATAGTAGAGAAAATGCAAAACTGCCTTTAAAGAGTGCGTCCATTGTCCTAATATTGGCACAACATAGCTTCTAAAACTTGAAGCAAAAGGCTGTAGAAGCTTACCCACATGCCCATGTTCTTTGTAAATCTGATGAGCCTTATCATTAAACAGTGTACGAACAAACATTCAGATCTAAGAGATGTAGTACATGTAATGCAGAAAGTCACAAATCCAGCACCATTATGTCTTTTCATAGCTAGTTCTTCTGTTCCTGTGATGTGACATTATTAACTTATGCTGTCACATTACTAGCTTATTAATATACAACAATGGAGTTTTATCGGTAGCAAAACCAACTTCTTTCTTTACCTTAGCTATTCTCTCATGCATCCTACTTTTCCGATCAGCTCCACTTGCTTTGGCTTGAGCTGCTGCTGCTTTGTATTTTTCCAGCCTCTGCTGCAAAGCTTCTAGGATTGTTTTTGGCTGCTGCACAGAACCTTTGAAAAAGATACAGAAAATATATCACAAGAGCTCAACCAACTACATTCATCTGAACCTAATCAACACAGCAAGCTGAATTCTATACAAAAGCAAAGCAAAAACACAAAAGCCCATCATAACTCTTGAGCTTTTAATCTATACAACATTGTTTACAATAGAGACCCTGCTTCAAACTTCTCTCACCTGAAGCTTCCTTACTTTGGAGCTCTTGGGTTGTAAGAGGCTGGGAAATTTCCACAGGTATAGATGGTGCTGGTTTAGGGGGAACACACATTTTTCCTGCACTTTCAAGTTCTGGAAAATATTTATTTATTTATTTATTTATGCATTTACATCCCGCCCTTTCCCGGAGGCTCAGGGCGGCTAACAGGGGCACCAAGTGCCAAGTAAAACAATATCATATAGTTTAAAACAAAACATATCATTAAAACCAATCACAGATAGTTTAAAACCATAGATTACAATCAGGAATATCAATATACAACAAACTTCAGCAAGAGGGAGGATCTTAACGTCACCTAACTACCGACATGTCTCATACTCCAAGCCGGTTCCAGTGCCGCCATCCACAACCAGGGGGCAATACAATCAGATGTTAGATTCACTAGGGCATAGGGATGCAGATGGAATAGCGGTGGCGGCGGCTCCTATCCAAAGGGGTTTAAGAAGCAAATGCCACTGAGCAGCCACCGAGGGGGTTGGCTAGGCAATCAAAACAGTACTGCAAACCTTCAAACCTTGGTTTCTGTCAGTAAGAGGCAGGAGAATGGGGCAGGGTTTTTTCCAGGGCTGTTTTTGCCTTTGATGGAGAACTCATCAGGGCCAGGCCAAGCAGTAGCCTCCAGGTGACTTGCATGACTCACCCAGGTCCGGCTGCTTGCTACTATTTAACAGCTGCCACTCCACGAAAGCCTGTGGTGTGGTGTCGTGGTTAGAGTTGAAGACTAGGCTCTGGGAGACCCAGGTTCAAACCCCCACTCAAGATGCTCACTGGGTACACTTGGGCTTGTTACACACACTGATCTCACAGTGTTGTTGTGAGGATAAAATGGAGAAGAATGACGCAACCTGCTTTGGGTCCAGTTGTGGATAAAAGGTAGGCTGGCTGCTGAGTAGGAAGGAGAAAAGAAAGCAGCGTAAGGTGACAATATAGGGGTTTGCCAGAAAGAGGGGAAAAGAAAATCATCTGGGGAGAGGGATACAGGGGAAAGTGAGGTGCACCCCACAAACTCTTGAGGGTTCCCAATGTGCAACTGGGCCCAGCAGCCAGCACTGCCCAACCAAGCCCAGCAGTTGGCACCATTGCTGGAATAGGATCACTTGAAGAAATATCTACTAAATACCCCTACTGTCAGATTTTCATGACAATATGTTTGAAGTCAATGTGCTCTACTGTCACCCTTTGCATATGATTCAGTGTTTCTGTGTTATTAAATATGGGAAGACAATCATCTTGTATCCAATAGTCATAGATGGCCCTCCCATAAAGATGAAAAAAATCTACAAGGGAGACCACCCAAGGTTAGCACGCGTCTTTCTGCAGATGTGGAGTAATCTCGGGGTTTGCACAAAAGCATATTTTAAACTGGGACTTTACCCCCCCCCCCCCCAGTAGCCAGCCATCTGTGCATGCAAAAAATCCTGGCTAACATTTTGGGTTGCCTTGCAATATTTAAAGGCAGGGATTAGCCAGATCAAGGAAATCATGAAGAGAAGAAAGGGGGAAAACTCTGCAACTGGAGGGTTGCGCAGGGGAGAACAGAGGCAGGGGGGGAAAGTGAGGAAAACAAGATTTCCATGCCCCATGAATCCTTATGGGTCCCCCTCTAGCCGTACTTAATAATACACTGTATCAATCAAGCCACATGCCGATGAGTTAGGGTTCTCCAGACACTCAGTGCACTTCACGGATGCAGAAACATATTATTAATCAGAAATACCCCCATAACCCTAAAACACAGTCTGAGGAGGACAGAAATGCTCCACAAATGTGGAATACTGAGAGAAGCTGGAGTCAGTTGCAGAGGAAAGGAGAAATTAGTTTGCTCAAGACCCCAAGAGTTTACAGAATTCTGAAGGAGATTTGGGTTATGTTGTGGGATTTCCAGCTATGTCTGATACTAAAGAGGGTGGGTTGTACCAACCATGAACGAAGCAAAACCTGTTTGCCCACAGACAAGGCAGTAGTTTCTGCATACCTGAGGCACTCGCCAAAATTCTGGAAATTAACCAAAAAGAAAAAAAAATCAAATGACCTGAGGAAGATTGCGCATGCGGTAAGATACACAGACTTCTGACAGCAGATAAGCATCAGTTAAGAAAAGAAAAACAAGGAGGAAATGGGAAAATGCAAGGCCCTGAGAGCTTACAGAATACAAGATGGAGAATTTGCAGGGTATGCGTTGGGGGGGGGGGGATTATTTTGCTACTTGCTGATGGAACAGCAGGTTGGTATGGTGGCTATGAGTGCCCTCTATTAGTTGTACCTGGCCCACCAACCTTCTAATTTCTTAGACATAGCCAACCTGGCCATGCTGATCCATGATTCTGTAACATTGTGGCTGGATCACTGTAATGTATACAAGATTAGGTTGCCACTGCAGACAACCCAGAACCTGCAGCTGGTTTAGACTTGTGGCAGCTCGATTACCCCCAGTGGCTAGATAATGGGAATATATCTAGCCATCTAAAAACAGCTACATCGGTTGCCAGTTTGTTACCAATTAATGTTGCTGGGAGAACTGGGTTTGATTCCCCACTCCTCTACATGGAGCTGCTGGTGTGAACTTGGGTCAGTCATAAATTCTTTCAGAGCTGTTCTCTCAAGGGCAATTATTCAGAGAGCTCTCTCAGCCCCACCTACCTCAAAGGCAGTGTTCCCTCTAAGCTGAGTTAGTGTGAGCTAACTCACAGTTTTTTAGCCTCCAGTTCACACATTTTTGTCTTAGCTCAGGAAGGATGGCTCCAAACTGCTCACTCACAATTTTAATGCCAGTAACTCACAAAGTAGAATTTTTGCTCACAGGACTCCACAGCTTAGAGGGAGCATTGCTCACAGGGTGTATGTTGAGGGGAGGGGAGGGGAAGGGAAAGGAGACTGTAAGCTGCTCTGAGACTTCCGAGTGAAGGACAGGGTATAAATCCAATGTCTTCTTCTTCTCTTATAACCTTTTAATGTCCTTCACAGCCAAGACCCACACATCTAAAGAACATTCTCCTCCCAATAGTCCCTGTGTGCCAAATATAGTCCTCAAGCTGCCACCTACTGACTGTAACCCCACTCAAGGTGGCCCACCTGGCATCATCCAGAGTTTGTATTCTATTATAGCTCCAACTCTGTGGAACAGGCTCCATGAGGTGGGAGTATGCCATCACTGGAAGTCTTCAGGCAGTGATGCAAGACCATTTTATTTACCATGGTTTTTAACAGTGTTTAGACTGCAGGTAATAGAGGAGAAGTAGGTTATTATTATTTTTTGTTATACATTGTAATTGGTAAGCTGCCTTCAGCTATGAGGAAGTATTTTACATTAAACAGGTATGGAGAAATATATTAGTGTGTGTTTTTTTAATTTAAAGATGCCTTGAGCCACGAGAAAAGGTGGGATATGTTTTAACAAATTAAATAATAAAATTGCAAACCCACCCTCAGAAAAACTCACTGCTTTCAGAATATTTAGTAAAGAGGAAGAAAAGCAGGGTATGTGCCTGCTCAGACCAATCAGAATTAATAGTTTCTGTAGAGATGGGGATTATGATACTCTACTTATTTCTTCTCTACTACTACAATTCCTCACTGGCACCCAAACTTTTAAAAATCACTAGTGGTCTTACCGTCTGGGGCTGGAGGCATATCTTTGAGATCTACAGAATGTCCACTGTCCAGTGCTTCTAGAACCATGATGAATTTCTGAAACAACACAGCATAGTCAAACCAATACAAATTGTTATCAGATGATTTAGAGATCTGCATGATCCTGCTTTCAACATGATTCCTAGAACACTGCTCCTGAAAAAAGCTTGAAAGTCTACGTTCATTTACAATAATATTCACTCAAGCTTCTAATGCTCATTCTGATTTGGAAAACAAGCAAACAAGCCAACTCCTACTATGTTTTAAAACAAGGATCCCTAATGCTGTGCCTGAGGGCACCATGGCGATCACTGACATCATACTTGGTGCCCAAGTATTTTTAGAAAGTGGGTGGGACTCTTGCCTAGCACAGCTTCTGATTGGTCAATGGAAACCTAATGGTTTGTGCAGATTAAAATACGGTAGCTTCAGAGGCAACTGCCACCACCTTGTTCACCTAGCCACTTACATACCACCTTCCCACCAACATCCTTGTATTTGCCAACATCCCATATTACTTTATAGCTAGAACAAAATACGCACATAATCCATTTAAGTGTGTCTTTCTAATTTGTATATTTTATTTTTATTTTTTTATTTACATGAGACTTATATACCGCCCATAACCCCTAATGGGTCTCAGAGCGGTTTACAGACTTACTACTATATAGTAGTGATTAAACCTACCTAGGGCCACATTTCACAAGGGGAGGGACTCCCTATCAGCACCCTGTTGGCAGATCGACCCCTCTTCCGGCTGCAGCTTCCGGCTCACGTCCTTCCGGCTCCAGCCGTGCTGCGCCGTCCTGCGTCCACTTCGCCTGCGTCTCGCGTCCTGCGTTCGCTCCGCCTTCCGTCAGGTCTGGTCATCCGGAATTCAGCCGCCATTGTTGTTTTTCGCCACTGCCGTCTTTTACCTCCGTTGCAGCTGCCAACACTCCTGGCACGGAACCAGGAGGTGGGTGCCCCCTGCCACCTAGGGCAGGTACCCATTTATCTACTCGTTTTATTTACCTTTCAAACCGCTGGGTTGGCGAGGGTAAATTAGTTTACCTGGTCACAGAATGTGGATTTCTAATCCCCAAAAAGAAAATGCTAGGACCATTCAGTTTAAGAGTTAAGCCAAATTCACCCATGTTTCAGAACGCAAACTCAAACACACAGTGTGTCATGTAAGCATTAAGCACATAACACAGTCTTGCATATTATGTTCCCTTACCTCCTACATCCTTGCTTTCCCTTGCCCTGTCAGCACTAAAATAGTCTAAACTGGGGCAAGCTACAAATCTTGCAGGGGGGCAGCCAAAACTTTTGGGAGCATATGCTGATCATTTGGATTTTGGGCAGCCCCTTGTTATTTGAATGGCTTGTCTGCTAGTGAAAGACAGTTGTTATATACTGCTCCTATATTCCCCCTATCCTATATTCTAGCCCCACTCTCGGCCTTAAAAATGCAGAACACAGCAAACAAGAATCACACCTAACATTAAGGAGTTAGCTGATGGCCATCAAGCACAAGTGATTCATTAAATGTATGCCTGAAATCTGTATTGTCATAAGTACACCTATATTATCATAAGTACACCTTATGTACACCTGTCATGTCTGTTGTTTTAATGCCCTAATTTGTTTACTTGTGATGGGGGCAGGGATTCAAGGAGAGTGGTGTGTGCTTGGTAGACAGTAGTGTATTAAAGGTTAATAACCACTAAGCTAGACAATGGGCTGAGGAGATGCGGCTAGGTAAAAATTCAACAGATACATCTTTCTCACACTTGCTACATATCTACCTAATGAATTTCTACCAACAAGCCATATAAAGCACAGTGAACCCTATCACAGCATTAGGTATACATGTAGCAAGTGTGAGAAAGATATACCTGTTGAATTTCTGCATAGCCACATCTCCTCAGCCCAGTGTCTAGGTCAGTGGTCCTTAAACTTTAATCCATTTAATCTTTTTCTCCATATTATGTCCTAACAGTAGCCTCTTGACAGGGTACAGGTTGTGCATCAAAACAATCAGATGTTGTGGCACACCTATTTCTTTTAATACCAACCATAGCTTTTCATGATCCACACAGTCAAGAGCTTTGCTGTGAAATACAAGCTGATTTTTTCCTGAAGTTCTCATATGCTCCAGTTACCCATGTAAATTTGCAATATGATCTCTAGTGCCTGCTTAAATAACTGGTACTTCTCATTCCATACATGGTAACAGTCTTTGTTGTTTTGAGCATCACTTTATTCACGTGAGAAATGAATGGGATGGTCCGATAGTTGTTGCAGTCTAACGTTTCCATTTTCCAGAACTGGAATGTAGATTCAGCATTTCCAGTCTGCAGGCCATCATTTTGTTTTCCATACTTGTTGGCATATTCTTGTTAAGATTTTGATGGACTCTGTTTCTGTGGCTTGGTATAGCTCTATTGATACCACATCTACTCCTGACGATTTGTTCCTCTCAACTGCTCTCAGTGCAGTTTTCACTTCACTGCAGGTTCCCATTCACTTGAATTAAATTTGTAAAAAACATACTCTTTAAACTCTTCAGGAAACCTTTCTTAGTTTGCATTTTTGGCACTATGAATGTTTTGGTGTTTTTGGTCAGCTTTATTATAATTTTTGATATTAACACTTCATGGTCTGTACCACAATCAGTTCCTGGTCTTGTTTTAGCAAAGAGAACAGAGCTTCTCCATCTTCTGTTTCCAATTATGTAAAATGTTTGATTTATGTATTGGCCATCCAATGATATCCACATATACAATTGTCTGATTACCTGAAATATGTTCGCAATGAACAACTTGTCATCTTCACAGAATTCTATGAGTCGCTCTTCTGCTTCATTTCATGCTCCTAGCCCAAATCTTCCAATAATATTTGATTCTGCTTTATTTCCTACTTTTTCATTCCAGTCACCTATTAGTATGAGCACATCTTGTTTAGGTGTGTGATCAATTCCTTCTTGGACACTTGCACAAAAGCTTTCCATTTCTTCCTCTTCAGCGTCTGCAGCTGGGGTGTAAACTTGAAGGATGGTTATGTTGTTAGGCTTTCCATAAAGTCTGATTGATATTATTCGATCACACTTTGCATTATAACCCTTGATTACTTGTGCTACATCTTGACTCACTATTAGAGCAACTAAGTTTCTTCTGTGTTTGTCATTTCCAGAGTAAAACACCTTGTAATTTCCTGACTGAAAATGTCCTAATCCAGTCCACTTTAGTTCACACCCTCTCAAGACCGCAATGTTTAAATGTTCCATTTTACGATTTCGAGTTTACCTTGATTCATACTTTTCACGGTCCATGTTCCTGGTAGATGTGTTGAACAAGATTTGGACTTCCCTTTTACATCCACTGACATCAACAACTGAACGCCCTTCAGGCTTTGTCCAGTTGTATCATTAAAAACAGCTCTATTTGTAGTTGTCCTCAGCTCTTCCCCAGTAACTAACTAGGTGCCATTCGCCCTGGGGGTTCTGTCTTCTTTTTCTGTTTTGGATTGGCTCTTCATAGGGTTCTCAAGGTAAGAGATTACCAGAAGTGATAACCTTCTTCTGCGCAGTATTAAACAGGGTTAGCTGAAGTGGCACTGCCATTGTCTACGAAAGATCCTCTGCCCTTCTCAGCCACTACTGCAGCTGCCTGAAGGAATCTCCTTACAGATTCCTCTGCCCCCATCATCATTGGAACTGTCTGTTCTCTTCTGCTGATGTGGCTGTTGATCCCTGAAGAGGGTGGTTGCATCTTAGTCTGGCATCTCAGCTGTGACCATTCTGCCTTGAGTGACTCTGCTAGTTTAGCCTCTTGACACTAAATCTGGCTTAGTGGATCACAAGTTTTGTAACTCTTTGAACCATTTACTAACCATCAACTTGCAAACCTGAAATATAATCCATTTAAAAACCATTTCCAATGACAGTTAATAGGGGGCAGCTGCACTACATGGATAAAGTGCAATCCCTTCATACTCTTCCATTAGTCCTGGCCACATATATCTCAAAAAACTGCAAATACAATTGAGGAAACTAAGTGCTTCATGTTCCTGTTTTTGAAATGTCTCATTCCCTAGCATTTCAGCTCTGGGCAGCCTTGAGTGAAACTGGATTATTGGGACCAATTTTAGTTGGCTTCCAGGCCCAGTTTTGGCACTGAAACTGCCATGTTCACTCTGGCTAATACTTGAATCAGGAGAGAGATGGTGGCTTTTAATACCAATAACCATGATAGCCTTCTGAAATGCCTTGCTAAGATGGGGGGTGGGGACTGTACTATGGAGGTTCCACTGTACCTGGAAGGCAGATACCAGAAGATGGTGCTGGGGTTCTGACTCTTGACAGATGCTTTATGACACCTAGATCTATTCACTCAAGAAAGGACTGTGGCAACACAATTGTGGGCCACTCTTCACTGGGATGTTGCCTAGAACATCTTAGTTATCACTCTAGTGCAAGGTGAAAGCACTGTTGTTTCAGTTAGGTTTTGGTCATTTATGCTGGATTTTCAGGCATTACAGTGATATATGCTACATAACAATGATGTGCATTAGCACAAGCAGCCATAAAAAAGAGCAGATCTCTAAGATGCCTAGGAACCAGTATCCTTGTGGTGAATTTCCTACTCCTAGTATTATCACAAAGCACAGCTCATCACATTAGTAAGGACTGAGAGATTCATTATAATATGATAACCCCATTTTATACATTGAATGTAACTTTATGATGTCATCTGGGGTGGGACACTAATTTTCTTCTACAAAGAAAATAACACATAAACTAGATCCTAAACTTACTCTCTGAAGATGGAAATATTTTTGGGCAAACCAAATTCCTAGGGAAAAAACTGGTTTGCACAAAGCTGCTTGGACTTGTGAATCAATGAAGCCTTACCTTTCCAGTTCTCATGTATTCTTTAGCCTTCTCAAGATCACCTTCCTGCTTGGCTTTCAGTGCTGCTAATTTATATTCCTTCTCTCTTGTCACAAGTAGTTCTCTCATACAAAGGTTTGAGGAATCTGAACAAGACAGTAAGCCACCCAAGTAAGACTTCTCAAACACCTACTATAAACAAAGTGAAGAACACTTCCCAGTCCATCCCCCCTGCACCCCGGAAGACAGAAACAGCAACGAGTGTATTACTCAAACATATCCAGAATAGAGATGACTTATGGGAAAGGGCCATAGCAGAAGTACTTACTATTTTCAAAAGTGGTATCTGTTCCTGTAGCAACTCCATCTGCATCCTGGCCCCGGAGAGCAGTTGTGCTCACAAACAACTCATCACCACTGGGGTTCTTTAATTCATGGTCTACAGCAGAGACTTGTTCCTTCTCTTCCTTCTCAGGGACTGTTACTTTCTCTTGATCATCTGAGCTTTTAGACAAATTATGCATGGCTTGTGGCATGGCTACAGAGCTCTTTCCTGAAGCAACTGGTGGTGGCATCTCTTCCTCATTCACTTTCTTGCCCTTCCTCACAGCAGTCAGCATAGCTTCCAAAGTCTAGCAGTAATTAAGGGATAAAGGCACCAGGTAAAAGCAGCACCTGCCATTCATCCCAATCAAGCCCCTTCATTACAATGGAAACAATGGCAACCCAATGTAAAACACAGGTACTGGAAGCAGAAAAGGCATAAACATTTCTAAAGAAGTGTACCTAATTTTCTCTGGGGCAACTTATTTTTACTAATCTGCTCTTGGTCTCTCAGACTGGCAGGAAGGTGGTTGCTTCTTGCAAGCATCACAGATACTAATTTAAAAAGTTCATTCTACGTGATCCAAGATCACCTATCAAATATATACAATTGTTTTAGAATTGCTTCTATTCTGAATCTTCTGAACGATCCAGTTGTATACACAGAAATTACACAATTTGCTGGATGACTCCTACGCAAAGTAAGAATCTTAAATCATTCTGTATCAGCTATCAGGCTGATGTAACAAGGGAAGCATATCCACACACAAATGAATTTGTCTGGAAGTTGTTTTCAAGTAGCAGACTATCAATAGTTGTCACCTTAAGTCATGCTTCAAAGGCTGCTTGGAGAGAACTTCATAGGATACCTGCAATCTCATACCCCACCATGTTCCTGAGAATAACAGCCTTTCAGTGCTACAAGAACATGGGAAAACTCTATCTTAGTGTATTTTGCAAAACATTCATGCAAATCAATCTGTATCAACAGCAAATAAAGTACTGCAAATAAAGCACATTCACTGGATAGTGCAGCCACCTAACACCACACCTCTAGCGTACAATAGCTCTCTGAGTCTGACCCCTTTAGTAATGGTATTTCCAATTAAAAACAAAATTTTCTTTTTATTTCATACAAAAATATTTCAATGGAGCGGCTTCTGTTATCCTATACAATTCTGTTTCTACGTGTATTCATTATTCTGTTTATACATACATACATTATACGAACATACAATTAAAAACTACATTGAAAATATCACATTTCTGCATTTCTTTGCAATATATGGGAGTGACAGGCATATTTTAAACAGAGTTTTCCCTTCTCCACTGAAAGTACAAGGATTTATGGTTAACACAACATACCTTAAGGCCTCGCTCATACCGTCGTACTTTGGCACTCTCCCCTGCTTTCTTTGCATTCATTATCGCTGCCTTATAGTTAGTTATTCTTTCTTCTACTGTTCGCTGTAGTTCACTGGAAGCAGAAGACATCTCAAAAGAGCAAAAAATAAAGAAAATAAAAAGCAAAAGTATTTCTACAGAATTACACACACTCTGATACAAAACTGATTACCAGAGGAAAACAGCTCTCTAGGACAGGCACATATAAGACAGCACAGATTGAACAGGAAACCTCTTTTGAACAGAGAGGTTCTTGTCCTTCAGCAAACATTCCATGTGTCTACTCCTGGGCTTCCCATCAAAGCAGCAATAGAGAAGTGGGTGGAGTACCTCAGGAAAATTTGCAACCATGGGATAACTAGAGATATTTGGTCAAGTAGAGAAGATGAGGGAACACAGTCAAAAATGTTTAGTCACTGCTAACAAAGACTGACTGCATAGTATTTTTGCAGACACTAAAAATGTTCTCTCGGCCGTTTGCTACGAGTGTTCAAAATGACCTCCTTCACTAGGCCTGCTTGCAAAATTCTGTCCTTTTATTCTGTGAGGAAAACTCAGCAGGAGAAATACCTCCCCCCCCCAAAGAACAAGGAAACCAACTGGAATTTATTTGCTTTGAAAAATTCCCCAAAGAGGTTACCACTATAAATATTGGTGTGATTATTAATCAAACCTGATCCTGCTAATTAACACGAATGACACAGGATTCAGAGAACCTGTTCAAAATGAAGGCAACTGGGTAAATCCTACAGAGGTGAACAGGGGAGGCAATTCTGCTCTACCCTCGTCAGTCTATACCATTCAAATTATGCTCTTAAAATCAGATATCTTGGAGGATCTCTAGGACATGCTCAGTTGTAACCATAAAAGAGGGAAAATGCAACTATTGTAAACAAATGTATGGACCCCAATGCAAGTGTAAGATTCATTTCTGCTCCTCATTCCATGTAGACCACAAAGTACAAAGGAACTGTGTGAGCCTGTGCTCAGAGACAAAAGAAGCTTTTGCTATGTACATGCCTAAACATATATTCGTGCCTTTATTATTTCTTCTTCTTCAAAATGACTAATATACCCCAAGTGATTTACAGAGTGAAAACAAAGCACAGTGCTATGCTCCGATACAGAAGGCAGAAGTCTTTTCAATATTGAGAAAATACACTGGGAGACGTGGAGGCAGAATGGTGACCCAGATGGCTTTTAATTCCTTTCCATTTAAAATGTAGGCCAATGGGCTTAAAGACAAAAACTTTCACCTACCTGTGTCGGTAGTTCAGTAAGCTGATCTGTGGCCATAGGAGACACAGCTATGCTTTCTGTCTCATGTTCAGTGCTTCCTCCTTCTCCCAGAACCTCTTGCAACTCTGCCTACAGCAAGAACCAGTGCAAGGGGGTGCGGTGTTAGAATGAACTAAAGAATACTTAGCACCTTTCCACTGTCACTATTCCAAGACATGGCCTGAAGTCTCTTATTTAGAATGACAGAGGCATCCCTCTTACACTAAGCCAATGCCACTTTATTTTTAAAATGCAGCATTATTTCTGAATGATCTAAGAGCTGTTTAAATCATATTTTATCTACAGAAGTTTTGGCCATGGATCAGTGGGGCATGCAGAAAGTTCCAGTCTTTCTTGGATATTCAGTTGAAGGATATCAGGGAGCAGGTGTTGGGAAAAACCTCCCTCTCTGCTGAAGACCCTAAAATACTACTGCCACTAAGCTAGATGGACCGATAGTTTGATTCAGTTTAAGGCAGTGTCATATGTTCAGTCTGTTCTGGTGTTTATAACTTTCTTGCCTGGTGAATCTATCATTTGAAAGCCCTTAACACATTTCTCGGGCAAGCAAGAACACATGAGGAGGTAACCATGCCTCTACAAGAGGTCTATTCCTGAGGAAGTACACAGCACATAAAATGTCAAGTGAACATAAAAGACCCAATTATACTATTGCCAAGCTTCCAGCAATGGCAGCTGAACCTCTTCCTCTCAGCTTCAACTATCACGACCTCATAGTCTTGCGCAATATGACAGTTACTTTACATGGAAGAATCACATGAGGATAAAATGCAAAGCTCTTTTCCTACTGTGAGCAGGGCCTAAACAATTAGCAGCCCTGTAATATGTCACCTTTCCCCCCGAATCACTTCTAAAAATTGGAATACCTACAGCGTTGTCACAACTCAGAAACAGCACTTTCTTTACCACCACTCCTTACACATGCAGGATATGTTTCTACTCTTGTTCCTATGTATTTTCTTCATCCATGCTATGTCAATTCCAGCTTCAGTTAATGAGACTGCTAGCAATCAGTGATGATGTGACCATGTCCTTCCCTTCAAGTGAAATGGGAAATCCTGAGCTTTGATAATTTATAGCTTATTAGCATAAAGATCTGCAGAACTGACTTTGCACTTCCCAACTGCAATCTTCCATATAAGACAATGATGGCTGTTCCTTGACAAATCACCTGCCAACAGAAATCTATACATACCAAAAGATCATTGTCTTCCTCTAGCTCATCATCATCCTCATCCTCATCCAAGTCCTTCATACAATCTGCAGCCATCTTTTCAATATGATCCGTAGGTAGAGGAGCTGGAGAACAAAATGAAAATGGGATAAAACCTGAGAGAGGGAACCCTGAGGTTCAGACACTTGGTGTTAACCATAGAATTACAACAAAGAGGTACCTGAAAGACCCTTCTCCAGTAAGGAGCCCATATATCAACTCCATTCTGTCTAACAACCTGCCCTGTGCCTTCTTTTAGGGAGGTAAGACCAGCTACAGCCCATCATAGGGCTTTTTCAGTGGTGGTTCCACTTACATGGAACGTATGCAGTGAGGTGAAAAGGCTATACCATCCTTATTTCTCCTTTAAGACAGCTTGAAATGTGGCATTATGTTGACAGGCTTCTCATTGATTCTTGGGTTTTTAGATTTTTATCGTCTGTGTTGTTGGATTAACAGATTACAAAATATTGTTAATTTTAAATTAATTTTACTGTTTATATATATTTGCATATCGTATGGAAACAGGAAAGGCAGTCTATAACTAAAGGTGGAATAAAGGTCAAATAAAGTAGCTGCTACTCTGGACTAACCTTATTTCCCTAAGAAACGATCACCAATTCTCCTGGAGAGTTTGGGAGCTAAAGATGCAACACAGTGGCCTACATACAGCCTTGCCCACACAGGGCTATATTGTCACTGTAATATGCATCCTCATGAGACTGTAGTTGTTGAATAGAGGCTGAATGCTTTCAGCCACGTTTTATCCACATTGTACAACTGATCTTCCAGTACAGCAAAGGCAAAAGCCTGCAAGTACAAGTTCAAATGGATGTATATATGTTCACACACACATTTTCTAACCAGGCGAGAGCTAACTCTTTCAAGCAGCACAGGCCACCCATACTGCATGTGACACTGGCAGCAATGGCATATGCAATGGTGGGGGTAGGGAAAAACATGCCTGCCCACCAGTGTGTTCCTTCCTTTAGGAACTCTGTTATGCTTCGTACGTCCACCTGCCACCCCTTCGCTTGCAGTAAAAACGGCTACCATACTTTTGAGGGTGCTGATCATGTATGATATGAGGAGTACTCTAAGTACTAGTCTCTTGCTTCTAACCCTGAGGGACAGACCCTTCCTTGGTTCGAATATCTTCAGTTAAAGCATCTAGTCCATTGATAAAATAGCTTTTAGTAAACCTCTGAGTTTGTATGAACGACTACTGAACTCTAAAGTATTCCACAAAGAGGGGATGGTCTCCATGCTTTACAAGTTTCTTTTGACAAATCTAGAACTACCCACTGCCTCTTTTCAAACTGCATGGCATAAAGACTTAAATAAGCACCTCACAGAGGAACAATAGACCAGAATTTGGGTTTCATCGATATATACCTCACGGTCAACGCTTATCCACACCCAATTGGTCAATCTTCTTTTAAGATGGTAGCTAACTCCAGTCACACTAGCACATGTTAACCCATTAAATTCCCCCCTTTGTTGGAAACAGTGTGGGGGAAAGGACACCTACTTCCACAACTGGTGGACGTGTCCACTCATAGAGGATTTTTGGAACCAAATCATACTGGTTATAAAACAATGGACTGGCCATATGGTCATTAAAGACCCTGCTCCTATCCTTTTAAATGTATGGCTCAAAACCAAAATCCCGAAACATGACAGGAACCTAATTGCAGTTCTATTTACAGTGGCAAAAAATGTTATTGCTCAAGCAATGGAAACTTCATACTATTCCGTCATTACACCAGTGGCTCCTTAAGGTCTGGGACTACTTTATTTTTGACAAGATCTCTGAACAGACTTCTCAGTCATGTATGGTTGCTCCTTCCGAGAGCTTAATGCTTAAATGGGCCCCCTTCATCAATGCTAATATTGGCCCACAGATGTCTGCAGCACAACTTAGTGTAGACTTTTGCTCTCTCTACCTATTCTCATGAATATTATTAGGATGGTTTATTATAGCTTGCTATAAGTGGTTGTTTAATTGTCAGTGTGAAGTTCACTTATTGTGTTTCATGTTATCAGTGTTTTCCATTATATGGTTTGAATGGTTTTACTCTGTTACTTTAACTGCAGTTTCTTGGTATTGTATTGTATTTATACTACACCTAATTTTAAAAAAAACCCTGAGGGACAGGGCACTTTATTTTGCTTCAGAGATGGGGAACACAGGCCAATAAGGAACTAACAGGGACATAAAACCTGAGACTCTCAGCTCCAGCCTTAAGAATCTGCTCTCTAGACCTCTAGCTCTGCTGAACTATCATTATTAAATTATTTTTCTCTCAGCCAACTCCTCTTCTATTGTCTTTATGAGCTTATACTCATGAGCTTTAAGGCTTGTATATATAGCTCACCCCCTCCTACTTTTGTATCGTCTCCTCCTTCCTCATGTTCTGCCATCTGTCCAACCCCCCCTGTCATCTTCTCTGTTTGACTCCTATTGCTGACTTCAGTGATTGCTCTTGTAGCCTGAATTCCTATTTAAGCATGCCTAATTCTTACCATTGCAGAAAGGGGAAGAGCACAACACAAGATCCACTGAGAAAAGCAAGGAAAGAGATGCACAATCCCAAGACTTCCTAGGCTCAGTGCACATAAAGAAGGGGCAAGTACACATACATGTGCATTAACAAGTCTGAAGAAGCCCTAAAAATCTGTCATGTGTGTTACTGTGAAAAGCCAGTATTGGAGACTACAAACGTACCAGCAAACAGTTAAAAGCTTCCATTTTGGACATTCAAGGTAACATATACAGCACATTGTGCAGGAAACTAGTCAAATTATTAATACAGAACAGGTATCAAGTGACACCTTAAAGACTAACATTTATTCCAGGTTAAGCCTTCATGAGTCAGAGTTCACTTCTTCAGATGCATAAACTCTCTTGTTGTTACAAACTAACATGGCTTTGCTATGGAATTAGGTTTAGACTACTGTTTTCCACCATGGATGAAAAAGTTTATCTTTATTTCTAGGCTGGATTGGCCTAACTTCAGCTTTGACACAATGACTCTAGTTGCTAAATTAAAATTTCTTTCTGCAAATGAGATCTTGATTAAATTCTACATAGCAAAAGCAAAAATCCCCAACTAAATGCTAACGTCTTTTTAATTTTAAAAAATACCTTTTTTCTTTTGAACAAACTTACTCTTTCCTTTAGGCTTTGTCTTCCCAGTGGACACATTCTCTCCTGTGATAGCAGCCAGTTCTGCTTCTAGGTCCCCATCATCACCATCCTCCTCCATTTTTCGCATCATCTCTTCGGGGCTGAACTCTAGAAAAAGTCCCAGCTGTTGGCAAGAGAGAAAATGCTCTGGTGAGGACAGCAGGCTTATCACAGCCACTGCAATATTAGCGCTGTGTGAACATCTCTACATGTTACAAACTAAAATGTCAAACGGGCTTAATTTGCCTTAAACCAACGCTGTAAACCTGTTTGCCTAAAACTAAGTTCCACTGCCAACAGACATCAATACATCTAATTCTCAACATAGCCCCAATCCAAATAAATCTGTGGATTGGGGCAATGTAGAGAGTAAGGGCATTTTTCTACAAACTACAGTTTTTAAAATAGAGGGAGTTAAATCCTCCCCAAACTGAACAGTGTTGCCTGCCTTGGTTGGATGGTGTGTGGGAGATGGGGGGGGAGCCACTGCCGCCTGAGCCAGATAACCAGAGGCCATGGCAACACTGTAGGCAGGCAGGCAGGCAGAAGAGAGAGGGAGAGCCCCTCTCTTCCCACCACTCTCTACAGAGACGGGTGGGCAGACAGAGCAGTGGAGAGTGTGAAGAGGAGCGGGTGAGATCCTCCCTCCCCTTTCCACTGCTAAGGAGTGGAGTGGGAGCCTGAGCACCCCCACTCTCTGGTGGCACTGTGGGCTGCCAGACAGCCAAGAGAGCAAAGGGTGTGCGTGAAGATGAATCCCCATATAAGTCGTGCGGGTCCCTGCTTGTATAGTCTGTTTTCAGGCACATGAATCTAAACAATTCAGTTCTCAAGATTTGAAAGGAGCTGTTATTTTAATGATACGGAGTAATCAAAGTCAGTGATAAACAAAGCTAAATTATATATCAAAAATTTGCTCACAACAAAGAAAATATACTTGCCCCCACTCCAGGGAAATGTGGGGAAATATGGCTTCTCTCTTTAGAACCTGCAGAAGTTCAGCCATGTGTAAATAACTGGGAGAAAACTGGTATAGACAGTAATAATGATAAAATAAACCATGCAAATTCATATTTGTAAAGCTGCAAAATCTATATGTATATTCTTGGTTCAAAAGACTGCATTTGAGACTACTGAATTATCATTTGAACTTTTGTAAAATTTAGATATTTTAAAATGTTGAATCTTTTGCAAAAAGACTGTAACAATAAGTAGAGTTATGGGTGTAATGCATAGGCACATACAAAAGACTGGTAATTCATCCTTACCCATGAATAAGAGCAACCAAGCTTCCGATCTTTGGTGTCTCAATGGCGGATGCGTTCCTGGAGCTCCCAGGGACGCGATCTGCATGCCAGTAGTTGGGAGGGGGTGTGATCGTACACACTCCCCCGGGGCCCTTACGTTGGGTCCCCAGCCATGGGGCGCTAAAAAGTTGCCTCTCCTCTGGCACGCTGCCGGAGAATTGAGACTCCCTTCTGCCCTGACGGTCCTGCTGCTGTGCGTCCACTATGGATCTCAAGCCGCTGACCAGGACAAGCGCATGGAGGCCGAGCGAGCAACACGTACCTTTGGCGAGGTCTTCGGGCCGACATGAACTGTGAGTCCATGAAAGCGAAAACACCAGGATAAAGGCAGAAAGCCCCCCCCCCCGCAATAAAAGTAAGTGAGGGGAGGGAACTTCCCAAACGCAAAGACAGAGGCCTCTCCAAAGGGGGGAGGCAGCCATAAAAGCAAAACGGAGCTGTTTTAAGAACTTCATAAGAGATTTACAAGCATTAGCGCGAACTTTAGAGACTTTTGGCAAACTACTCTTAAAGATAAACATCCCCAAAGTTGGCGGGCAAAAAAACTGAGAAGGATAAGCAAGCGAAACTTAAGCTTTCTTCAGGAAGCCCAAGTCCAGCTGGGCTGGTCAGCCGACCGGAAACTTCCACAGACATTTCAAAGATGTTAGCAGACTCTTTGCGCCTCTGCTGGAACAAATGACAAACATAAACGAGCAACTGACAACTTTAAATCAGAACTTCGCAGCCCAGCAGCTCCGGCTAAGCGAAATTAACAAAAAGACTGAGCAGACAGCCAAGACGGTGAAGGAGGTGGATGCCAAGTCTAAAAAGGTTAAAAAATGTGTGCAGATGTTGGAAAAGAAGAGAACATCTGATAAATCACAGCGCTTGCAACTCCAAATGGAAAAAGCAAGCTTTGTCCTGAGATTTCAGGGGCACCCTGAAACTAAGGGGGAGAATCTGAAACAAATTCTGATTGATGCCTTGGCCCCGATTGCAGATTTAAAAGCGGATTATATTCAAAACGAGATGGATGTGGTCTATAGATCATATTCAGAATATATAAAGAAGAAAACTCTGCCAGAGGAGATAGCGGTCAGATTCTCAAAAAGGCATGTGAGGGATCAAATCCTGAAAGCAACATCAGGAATGTCCCTAAAAATCGAGGGCAAGGAAATAAGGGTTTTGAAAGATATTCCATTTGAAATTAGGAAGAGAAAGAAATTTAAAGACTTGGCAAGGTTTTTGCAAACAACCAACATCCCTTACAGATGGTTGGTACCCGAGAACATCCTTTTAAAGATAAACGACAAGAAAGAAAGAATTAACATTGCTAAGCAGCAACTTGGTTCTACAGGAGAGGACGACAAAGAAGACGATGACAGTGACAAAAGAAACGACAATGACTCTGATGCTACAACTTCTGAAGAAGATTCCGATTCGCAACGTGGGGTAGCCGCTCCCAAACAAGACTATCAATTGAGTAATAGAAGAGGAAAAAATGAGATGCTGAATGACTCTGAAGTTAGCCTTAAGTGGATTATTATTAGCGGGGGTTTTGTGGTATTTCTTGAACAGTTATTTTAACTGTTTTTGATAACACAAGCATACATATATTGATCACACTCAATGTAACTAATAATCTCTCTAACAATTTAGCAAATTTTTATATGCTTTGTAATAGCCACCACCTCTTGGGTTTTTAGAGGGTTTTCTTTCCTTTCACCTGTAGTTTGTAGATACCCTCCCTTATTTCTTTGTAGTTTATAGAAAATGCAATAAAAAATATCCCTTCGGGGGTTGAAAACAAAAACCAAAACCAAGAGCAACCGAACAATCTCATGGCATACACTAAACACAGCTAAAACAAATTTCATCCAAGATGCACTATCTATGCTGGCCACAAGACAAATAGAGTTAAATGCACTTTAAGGTATTGATTTCAATAGGCTTAAAAGGTAAAGGTTCCCTTGCTCGAAAGCCAGTCGAATCCAACTCTAGGGTTGCAGTGCTCATCTCTGTTTCAAAGCCGAAGAGCCAACGCTGTCCGAAGACATTTCCGTGGTCATCTGGCTGGCATGACTAAACACCAAGGCACACGGAACACTGTTACCTTCCCACCGAAGTGGTACCTATTTATCTACTTGCAATTTCTTGCTTTCGAACTGCTAGGTTGGCAGGAGTCAATGGGCTTAAGTATGCTTAAATGTGTGCTGGATCATCTTCACTACTGTTACCCTTTTACGGATGTAATACTTAATTTTTCTTTACTGCCCCACTTTTTCAGTTTTAACCTCCAGAGCCTTTTCCCTTTATTATTCAAACCAAAGCTCCTCAATTTGTAAACAGCTCAGATATCTCCAGGTTGTGAATCTTGGCCAGCATGGTGTAGTCAGAATAGGGAGACAGAAGTTCAAATCCCCACTGTACTATGAAACTCAAATGTCTGACTCTGGGCTTTTCTCAGCCTAACTTTTCTCACAAGATTGTTATGCGAATAAAATGGAATAAGGAAGAAACAAGTATGCCTTGCCAAGCTCCCTGGAGGAATGGCGGAATAAAAATGTGCCACATTATCTCACACAGACTTCCTTTCAGAAAGATCATGACTACTACTCTGTAAGACCTGCAGCCCAGTCATTTTTTAAAAAGCCAAATTAGCTGGTAAGTCTGGGATGTGTTGCTTTACCCAGCAGCATAAAGAACCACTTACCTGAACCGAGTTATTTGTGCTGCTTTTCCTTCCTTCTCTCTACATCCTCTGTTAATGACACAGTAGCCTGGACAATATATGCTGGTTTGTAGGATGCTGAGGAATCGTACTTCAAAGGATTATTCTAGATCTCAACAGTTTCTGGTCCCTTCCATAAATACATGTTACAAATAATTGACTAGATCTGCTCTAATCATTTACACTGCAGTCCTAAACAGTCAATGGGCTTACAAGGTTGTAACTGCTTTAAAGCTCACTGTTATTGTATGAAATAACACAGGGCGCTAAGCTACCCTGTCATATACCCACTTTAGAATGTGATAGTAAATAATAAATCTGGCACTTCTACCAACACATTGACAATAAAAAGACTATGAAAACAAGAAAAAAAGCTGATTTAAACAACCAAGAGCCAGGTATTCTGGCTCTTTCTTGCTCCCCTCTAAAGATAGCATTCTGAGCATTTCAATTATCAGAAGTTTTCCTAAGCATTCAAGAGCTGGTAAAAATTCTGATGGGAGCCTAAGACTCTTATAATGGAGAATGACTCATCAGGTCACAAGGCAAAGATTTCAAGGATAAATTGCCTAACAGAGTATAGTAACAAGAGTCTAGCTGGGCATCTGTAAGGGCTTGTTTAAATCTAGGATAACCTGCCACGCAGAAACCATACAGCTTGAGATACATGTATAATTCAAAACTGGAGTAAAGTCTATGAGTGAATTCCTGATGCACATAAAACATAGACTATCAAATGCACCAATTTTCAACTATTATAGATGTAAGAAAAAGACATATTCTATAGTGTCTTGAGTTACAGAAACACAATGAAAAGTTGCACAAACAAAATGGGCTTAATGCTGGAACATTCTTCTAACAAGGTACACATACTGCTAGTAGAAAGATTTATATACCTGCTTTGCTGCAGCAGCTCCCTGACCCTTTTGTTGGGGGTTTTTCCTGGGTCTTCTACCAAGCATTTTGACTCACGACCACCAAATGCTTTGACGAGTCCACAAAAATTACCTATGCCCAAATACAATAAACAGCAATTATGTATAGCCATTTCCTGTTAAAACATGCAAATCATTCTTATTGGAAACTAGGTCTGAAAAACTTCAGTCTACCACCTCCTGGGCTGCTATAAACCTAATTCAAGTAAACACGCAACAAAGCTTGTCCCCTTAGATACGCTTGAACATCAGGCAATGAACTGGACATTGTTTCCTGAATTACCTGAAATGGCAATCTCACAGAAGCTTTTAAAAATTGGTGTGCTTCTTTATTTGATTACAGAAAGGCCACAACCAGCCATTTCAGTACTGACTTCACAACTATTAATTAATTAAAATTATTCAAAAGAGAGATCCTGGGGCTCATAATTGGATAGAGGCTACACCATCAGAATGGAAATGTTGCTGGCCCAGTCCCAGGGTAGAAGAGGGGAGAGACATTCATATAGCACATTCTTTGACTGAATAAAAACACAGATTAAGATCTAGCATTTTCATCATTAAAAATTTTTTGGGACTGCTCCCCTCCATCATCTGACTCACTTGAGATGTGCCTTACTGCAAACTCTGTAGGGGGAAACAGACCCTCTAGACCTGCTGAAGGGTGCTCTTTGTTATTACTTTCCATATCCCATAGCTGATGCCTTGGTGATCAACACATTCTGAGGCTCTTCGGGCTCAAATTAAGCCTTACACCTGCAAATGAGCCAAAAATGAGCATTACTGTCATTTTTCTGCACTGTTATTTCCTTAGGACAAACAGCTGGGCTTAGTATCGGAAACCACCATCCTCTGTATTAAAGTACCATTAACTTCTAGGGGCCCCTGAATCACGTTCATACACGGTAACTTGCATGTGTGACGAGATGCCACCACACAACAAACGCAGCTTTCATGGCAACTGATATCAACTGGAACCCAAGACTTTGTAGAAGCAGTTCTCACGTTCAGGTACGAGGTGACCGAGGACCGTGCAACACGCGAATCAGTGCAGTCCCCAGTCCATAAGCAGCCAGTCGGCAACCACCCACCGCCTCCAAGGAGTCCACTCTGCCGGGGAAGGCTAAGAGCCACGAAATCAGATTACGCTCTGGGCTCAGTTAACAACAAACCGTCTGCCAGGACAGAGGCAGGAGCAGGAAGAGAAGGAGAAGGAACGGAAAGGGGTTCAGGCTAAACATCAGCAGCTGTCGCCCCCTGCTCAGGTGATAGCCACAGGAGACCAGGGCTGAGGGACGCTAGCCCATCCGACGACCCCGTCAAGAACGGGCGGCGCCCGAAACCACAAACTCACCTCCCGCAGCAGCCGACAAGCCCCGGCGCAGCACACAGGAAGCGCGGCGGCGCGCTCTTTCCACACCCACTCCGCCTCAGAAAAGGCCTGCACCAAGAGGCCCAGCAACGCACATGCGCAGACTGCGAGAAACAGGAGAATGGATAGGAGGCGGAGCTACCAGGCGAGGCGGGCGGGTAAAGAGATGGGCAGGGCGAACAGGCCGTGGGAGCATACCTGTCGCCAAAGGGCGGGCTCGTGGCAGTAGCCGGCTAGTCTGCCTTGCGATTTCGGAAGAAGAGCCACACGTTAGTTTTAGAATTGTATTTGTGTAAAGGATTAGGTGGAACGGGGGGAAAACACCAACCCGCCAGAGCAAGAACGGAAGAGAGAACAAACGCCTTCTCAAGTCACCGCAAAGATGACACTTTGCTGATTCAGCGCTGACTGGCTGTTTACTTCTGTAGAGCAGTTTATGGCGTCATGGTACTGCTTTGAACAAAGTTCGAGTCCAGTGGCACCGTAAGAACATAAGAAAAGACCTGCTGGACCAGACCCGTGGTCCATCGAGTCTAGCATCCTGTCTCACTCAGTGGCCAGCCAGTTCCTTCTGAGGCCTTCCCCTGATGTTGCCTCCGGGCTCTGGGATTCAGAGGCACTAAGCCTCAGTCACCATGGCTAGTAGCCAGTGATAAAGTTAATCTCCATGAATCTATCTAATCCCCTTTTAAAGCTGTTTATTCCTGTGGCCATCACTACATTCTCTGACAGCAAATTCCACATTTTATTTTTGTACACTACACAGGGCTATTTTGGGGCAGGAACAGAGTTCCAGCTGGCTTCAGTGTTCACCACGCCCACTGCAGCCAAAACCTCTCAATGCCTGACTTACAGAGGGAAGGCCTGGAGAGCGACCCCCCCCCAGGTGGGCGGGCCGAGGGCCCCCTGGAAGGATTGGGGAGTCATTTAAATGCGGGGTGCCCAGGCAAGCCAAGGGAAGGCATGGGGATGTGGCCTAATATGCTAATGAGCTGTGATATCAGAGATGTGGCCTAATATGCTAATAAGTTTCTGCTGTTGGGTGTGGCCTCTAATGCTAATGAGTTCCTGCTGGGCTTTTTCTACAAAAAAAGCCCTGATAGTACATAATTTCAAAACAGGGCTAGAAAAGAAATGAATAAAAATAAATAATGGGAATTATTAAGCTAAAAACAACTTGAACAAATAAAATTTAATAGGCCAGGAGCCATACAAAAACCTCAAGTTATAATTCGATTTTACATTTAGAAAGCCAAGATTCTAATATGAAATGGACTGACACTAAAGATGCATTATGACAGTTCCAAAGTTCATGTGGGAACAACATAGCCACAACCTCACTATCCATGAAGTTCTTTATGGCATGGGGTTCATGCAGAATTCGGGGGGGGGGGGTCCACTGATTAGCTGTTAGGTTTAATGGCTGCCAGCCATTTAACCCTTCTTGGGTGATCCCCCCTTCTTCCAGCTGCAGCAAGCCACAGCCAGGAGAAAGGGGGATCCAAACTGGCCGGTTGTCATACCCACCGTAAAGCCTGACCCAGTGGACCCTGATCCTGGGGACTCTGCACCTTTCACATCCAAGGAAGAGCTCCCTGCACCCCCAGACATAAGTTTTGCAGAGGCTGAACACCAACTGCCAGAAGGGTTCAAACCTGGAGCCACTCCTGCAGAGCCGAGCGCAAGCTCCACACCCCGATTCCCCTCCACCTGTAGCTCGTTTAAGAGACCAAAGGAGACGGGATTTGACAACCCGGTACAGGGAAGCACGCATGCGTGGGAGGCGTCCTCTGAGTCCAGAGTATTAACTGGAGCTAGGACTCTGTAATCAGCCGGCAATTAGGAACACAGGGAACAGGCTTTTAAGGAAGCCCTCTTCACTACCTACCTCATGCTGGCATCTGATCATGATTGAATCGCTGCACCTCGGACCTTGCATCTTGTTTCCTGACTTTCTGCTTGACTCCCTCGGCTTTTTGACTCCAGACTGCTTGACATCGTTCTTCTGGCTCCTTGACCTTGGAATGTGTAACCTGACTCTGAACAACGGCTTTCAGCTTTAGAACTGCCGATCTCTGGTAAACCTTGGACTGTGCAAGTGACCTGATATTTTGGATTACGCTTTTGTTTCTCTGCCTATCTGGTGCTCTGACCTCAGCCTGTGTTTTTGGATACTCTGTGCCTTGCCTAGCCTGCCCCGTCAGGACAATCGTGACACCGGTTCAGGGCATTTTTGGCTCAGTTCGGATGCCACCCCAAACCCTGAACCAAACTGAAATTTTTATACTTGTGCCTGTCCCTAGTTTGGAATTATTGCTGAGGCCATGTGCGTTAGCTCTATTTTATTTGCTTGTAAGTTTTAAGATGTAAACCTCGTGACATCTAATGGAAAAATGTCAAAATCAGGCGTGTCCTTTATTGACTTTCAGCAGCTCCTGTCAGTGCTTCTTTACAGTATTATGGGAAATACGTGTTATTTTATATCTTCTACTGAATGTTTTAGTAGATTCTGTATGAGAAATGTTTAGTAATCGCATTTGGGAAATTGGATTAAATGCATTCTGAAGCTCTGTTTGTAACAGATGAGCACACTTGAAAGCATGCAGACTGATACTATGTGTATTTATAAAGATGCTGGCCCCCTGTTTAAGAACCACAAGCGGAATTAAATGTAAGCATCTCAGACATATTAATCATTTCATATTCCCATTATAAATAGCAGCAAGACGATTGAAGACTTCCTGTCTATGGCTTAAGAACATAAGAACATAAGAGACGCCAATGTTGGATCAGGCCAAAGGCCCATCCAGTCCAACACTCTGTGTCACACAATGGCCAGAAATACCAGTGCCATCAGGCGATCCAGCAGTGGGGCCAGGACATTAGAAGCCCTCCCACTGTTGACCCTCCCCCAAGCAACAAGAAGACAGAGCATCACTTGCTCCAGAGCCCCTAGCTATACCTTGTGGCTAATAGCCACTGATGGACCTCTGCTCCATATGCTTATCTAATTCCCTTTTGAAGCTATGGCGGAGGCTCTCTCCTGAACGGGGGAGGCATTCCGCGCTCCAGGGGTGTTGGAGGGGTGCCGCCTCAAGTGGCACCCCCAGGTGAGCCTCAGTAAGGAGGCTCCAAGCTGGGGGCGCTTGGAGGGCGACCTCTTCGATGGCTCGAAGCCGGAGAATTGAGGCGCTCTTTCTTGCCCCAATCGGTCCACCCCCCGCGAGGTTCGGTTTTACCGAGCATAGCTGAATGCCGATCGGGACAAGCAAGAAGGTCAAGCGAATGAAGCGCGATCAAAAGGTGTCTGTGATCAGACCGTCAATGAATCGGAGAACGAGACGAGCGAAAAAGTTTTAAAAGTGAGTTCTGATTCCCCCCCACCACCTTCAGCGGCGTCGGGAGAAATCCCGGACGCAAACAAACAGAACTGTGTTCTAAAAGAGACGGGGGGGGGGGGGAGAACAGAAAGCACTCAAGTGTGCTAGAGACTTAACTGCATTTACGGATAAGTTTTACACTTGCTGAAGAAGTGTGAAAAAAGCACTCTTTACTACTCTAAATATATCAAGCAAAACAACCTGCCGGGTGAGATTGTGATCAAATTTCTCCGATGACAGACAAGAGATGATATTCTCAAAGCGACAACAATCAAACCCCTGCAATTGGGATCAGCAACTATCAGGGTCCTAAAAGACGTTCCATTTGAGGTCAGACAGAAAAGAAAAGCATATAAAGAGCTCATTTCAACGCTTCAAATCAACCAGATTCAATATGCCTGGCTTTTTCCAGAGGGGGTGCAGTTTAAATAAGGAGACAAAAGGGAAAAAATTGACTCGGTGTCCAAAGCGGAAAATTGGTTGAAGCAGTTTTTTGGAGCAAAAGAGGAAGAGCAGCAGGACGACGAAGGCCAAGCAGCCAGCCCAGACGAGACGGACAGAGACCTAAGGAGCAGAAGGAGGCACGGCCAGAGAAGCATATGATCTGCGACTGAGAGTTGCCAAGTAGCACTTATAATTTAAAAGATTATAGGCGAACTGGATGAAGTCTTTATGCACACTGAGAAGAAAATAGACATTTACTAAAATGGACTCACTAATCTCCTTAATTCATTGACTTAAACAAAAGCTTTAATTCTTTATAACTAACTATGTACTAACTGTTAATGACCTTCCTTTCTTGGGTTTTTAGTTATAGCGTGGGGTCTTTTTCTTTTATACTGTCTGTATCCTGGGGTTTATTATTTTAGTTTGTTATTTGTTTCCCCCTCCCCTCCCCTACCACTTTTTTCTTTTTTCCGCTTTTCCTTTTTTTTTCTCTTTGTAGTCATGTAGGTGTAACAAAAATTAATAAAGCTACCCTGCCTTCAGGGGATTAAAAATAAATAAATAAATAAATAGCAGCAAGACAACTAACGTCCTTAAATCTTCGGAAGTAAATGCCACTTCGGGCATAATAGTGTCCTCTTAAAGCTGGGAACTGATATTGAAGAACAAGAAGCAACCTTCTGAAAGTAGTTAATGTAAACTTTCATTTTTTTTAAATCCTCCAGAAAGAATAGGAAGAGTTGTGCCACCCACTGGCCATATACTGCACATGCAATTCAACACCTTCAGCCCAAAGTAATGTTCAGCCATGGGAGACTGATAGGGAGCACCACTGTAAGGTTCATGTGCTTCATCCTCCAGTCTCCAATTCTCACTAAGGGGCTGGCTGTGCCTGATCACCAAATCATGGCATGAATTAAATCTTAGAATGATTGAAAAAACATTGATACAGAGAAATTGAACATTTTAAGAAAAGGATTTTATAAAAGTGAAATTAAAACAGTATAAAAGTACACTGAAAAATAGGTATGAATTTGATAATACAAATTATCACCAAGTTTTAATCAGCATCATTATTTAAAATAATTTCTTTAAAATTTAAGATTAACCTCCCCACCCAATTTACAGAATTGCTTTAGTCTTCCTTGAGTGCATACATAACATCATCTTGGCTAACATTAAGTCGAATTCGGCCGTGTAGATATTTATTATTAGATTCTGCTAACAAGAGTCTACAGGCACTAAGCCGAGAGGAAATTGCCATTATTTCTGATACAGTAGGAGTTTTCAGGCCTTCAATCCTGCACAGTGCAACATGCTGGTGATATACCTAAAGAAAAATAAAACACAGTGAAATTTTCAACAAGTACAGAGGAAGCATCAATAGGAGAAACTGGATCTGCCCATCTATGGACTGCCCATTGTACCCGGAAGTCAGAAGTAAATTCTTGACTAGGATAACAGATCAACTGTACAATTTTTCTGACATGGATAAATTAATATTTTTGCTGTCAGATGTAGACCCCTCTGTTTCTAACAAGGTGGCACTTTATGCACTAGCAGCTAAGAAAGTCGGAGCAAAGGTGGTTCTCATGAAAGCAGCTACATGAAATGTAATGTCCTGATATGTATTTAGTATTTCTTGAACCTGCCTGTGAATCTCTCGAGATGGATGTTTGTATTTTAAAAATTCAAGGTAATTAGCATTTCTGAGTATGAAAGTGAATATTTAAAGACGGACATTGTATTTTAAAATTTTAGTATGTTTAACTTGTAACGGCCAATGGCCACATACAATAAACTTGACTTGAACATGATATACATGGACAGTCCTTAAACCAAGTATATTCTTCTCAGAACAATGCTGTTGTATATTCTAAACCACGGGGGAACTGAAGAGGAAAATGATGGAACTGGAATACAAGTAAAATTCTAGTTCATGCATGCTAGATGTACATTGGGTCTGTATCCTACCACTCTGTTCAGCAAAGTTCAAAGCCTTCCTCCAGCCTAAGGATCCCCTTCCAAAGATGGTGAATTTTGTAAAGAATACCTGCTGAAAAAAAAAGTAGCCTCTTCTAGTCCTGACCTGTGAAATTCTGCTATAGTTGCTTTCAGGAAAATTTGCTCCTGCAAGGACGCATTCCTGAAAGAGAACAAAAAAGTCCCAAAAGGTTAAACAGCCAGGCCAAGAAGTTTGTTGTTTTGCTGACTGAGCAAGCAATGTCAAAGACTTTTGGTAAACTACCAGGTTTTTTTCAAAATAGACGCCACAGAAAGGTAAATTAACCATTACTTTGAAGGTATGTATTTTATCCATTTGAAAAGCACTATACTGTTAAACCCTGCAATTTCTGGAAATCATGAAGGCATGGAAAAACACCACAGAAATGGAAATAATGGAAAGGGGGGGGGACTGAAATATATGTAATAGTTACTTTTCTATCAAATCTAATCTTATTTTTACTGCTTTAACAACATATGTATAAACACAGCATAATGGGCTAGATCCTATTGAAAATATCTATGCAAGGGGGCAGCGACACAGTTGATCTCTTGGGGAGCTCCTGAGATTCACCAACTCTCTGTGCTTTTTAGGGGATTATCAGGGGCTCCTGAAATTCCACCCGCCCTCCTGGAGGGAAGGCAGGTTGCAGGGGACTTGATCCAGGATCCTCGCGAACGGAGGTGAGCGAGTTAAGCCTGAGATCGTCCTGAGGCAAAAGCACAGAGCTGCATAGTCATGAAGCCATTACTGCACAAGCTGTGATCACCTGCATAAGAGAGTTTTGAGCCTCATCATAACACCGATGAAGATAAGACTATACCGTGAGTAACTCTAAAAGCAACAACTAATAGCTAAGATTTCAACGATTTGCATATCAAGCCCCTTTAAGCTTCCCAAAAAGACGAGGGAACGAGGTGTGGAATTCCTCCCCCCCCCCCTTTTCTCCTTTGCTAGCGGCTGCAACGAGACCGGGAACTAAAGATTGTTAAAACACATATGGGGGCTAAAAAGATTTACATCCGAATATCTTAACAGCCTTAATAATATCTCTACTGGAAAATCTATGTGAAAAGCTACTGACTTTATCTTTTGGAACTTAAAGTATTACTTTGCGACTAATACTCTTAACAAAGAACAACTTTCATAAAAAGGATTACAATACTCTATTAATTCTGTGTGAGACCACATTCTGTTTTTATATATAAAAAAATTACAGAAGATTAACTTTTCGGAGAGCACAAAGAGACTGTATGTTATCTGGTCTAGGCTGAAGGACTTTTGGAATTAATATGTCTACTGCAGCTGGACAGATATTGAAAGCGTAATCACAGAGTCCGCTTCTTTTGCTGGTTAAAACTAAAATCTTGATATGAGATGAAGATGAATGCTCAAACTATGTGCAAGGAGATAGACAATTTACAAGACTCGGATGACACAAAAGCTGCAAAAGCTTGGCAACAATTTAAGGAGACTCTTGTGGACAATCTATGCGGCTATTAAAGAAACCTTTGAGAGATTATTTGACAAGGAGAAAAGCAACTCACTGGAAGCTGCAACTAAACAGGAAGAATCACAACAACAGCAACAGATACTTCCTAAAAGATGGGACTTCAAACAAGATGCACTACCTTTTTCACAGATCCCTTCAACCAAAGAGACAATAAGATACTACACAGGACAATTCAACGGTCTTATTGAGAATATGAGAAATCTTTCAAACTCTGAGACAGCAAAGGAGAACATACTTGCCTCAGGAGAAAACAGAATTAATGGAAACTCCAACTGACTTAAAACTTAAATATAAATGGGAAGATGCAAGAGAAAACTTTTCTATATATAAAGAGAAAAGGAATAGAGTCATGATGGTTTAAAAAATAAGAGTGCAGAGAAAGAAAAAGAGGATTAAATATTATGAGTAATTAGAATTATGTGTAATTGGCCAATTATGAGTTATAGCTTAATCTGAAAGAACAACATAGCAGTAAAGAAGATAAGAGTAATATTAATGTAAAGCAATTAGGTGATCCTTAAAAAAAGAGTATAAGATACAAATATATTGTAATACTAATATTAGGCTAAGCAATATTTTAAGGTGTATGAATCAGATCTTACAAGTGGATTTAACCATTTGTACAAGTAATAATTTTTTGGCTAGTAATTTGCATTTAAATTATAGCTATAATTCACTTAGAAACATTATATTGGGTTTGGATCCTGATGAAGATTTTAACATGAAATAACTCTGGAACTTTCTTTTTCCTTATTTTCTTTGTAGCTACCGATCTATAGTCAAATATATACAGTAGAAATGAATCTGTATAGAAATGATACCAGAATGTTTAGCTATGTACGTAACTTCCTCTAAGTACATATTATTTGCTTAATTTAGTGTTGATAAGAATGAAGATGTGTAACAGTTATTTAGGATGCCTAGTAGAAAAGATAACAGATGGTATGGGCATGTGATAGATGAAAGGAAATATAGAGCATGTATACACTGTTGCTAAATGGATAGTATATGGATAGGTAAAAATTAGGTAACTTAGATATTTAGTTATGTATGAGAAATTTGAATAGAATTTATCAATATAATACACTCTCCTTTCTTTTCTTTTTGAAGACCAATAAAATATTAAATTAAAAAAAGAAAATATTTATGCATGTGTGGCATGCGTGAATTTTACCCAATTCCATCCTCTAGGGGCAGACCTCCAACTCCACCCCACATGCTGGTCCTGGAAATCCACCATCTTCCAGATGCAGCATTTCAGGGGGCATTTTTGAGCTGCCACAGGAGGGAGGATGCAGGGAAGTAATATTTTGGTGCATAGAAATTTTACACAGAATAGTACGGTTTAGCATTTTTATGGAATTTAAGCAATAAATGCCTTAGTTTTCTACCAGCCAAACTGCTGGAGGTAATATGGAGGTAATTAAAAAAAAAATGTATGGAGGACATCTTGTTTTCTTCTTGCAAGTAGGGAGATAACAGATTGCTGTTCACCCCCCCAGTGCAGCTTCTTATCACCTCTGCTGCCAGTGGTGGTGGTGGGGGGGAGTGATTACTTTTCTTCCCTCCAAACTGGGCTGGGGGAAGATTGTCTTCTTATCGCTCTGCTTGCAAGGGGGAGATAAGCTGAATGCATCTTTTCCTCCCCTCTAAGCATGGGTGTGTGCACATCCTTGCACTGTGGTAACAGAAGCGATCAGCTTGTTCTTTCCCCGGGCAGGCAGATGAGAAACTGATTGTTTATGCTCTCCCCCCCCCAACTGGGGTGTGTATGAACAGAAGTAATCAGCTTCTGATTTCCCTGTCCCAAGCATCTCCTGTGTCCCTGCAAGACCCAGACTTAGGGAGGAGCGGCGGGGACGGTGACGGGACTGGTCATCAAAGTGTCATTTCTCTTCTCCCCCAAGCTTTTCCCCAAGTGTCTGCAAGGCTAGAGCAGATGAAGTCACACATAGGGAGCTCACAGATGGCTATCATAGCATATTAGTCATCAGAAGTCATCCCAAAAGACTGAACTAAACTAAGGACACTACAGACCCAAACTCTGGAATTACCTAATTATATGTATATAGGGTGATGAGAACATTTCATCCATGGCTTGCATGATGTGTGTCATGGTGACCAGTCCAGAGCTACTCTTCTGATTAGAGAGTTCACAGATCTCAGTAGACCTTCTACATATATCAAGGCAACGTCTTGCATCACCAGACAGAGCAGCCACCTAAAACAAAATAATGAAAGAATAAGAACCATTCCTGATATCGCTATACTCAAAAGACAAAGTTATTTTAATGTATACCATTTGCTCCTTATAATATCAAACTTGAAACTGGTCACTTGACACAGGCTTTCAAAATTCAAATCAAGTAAATTTAAGAAAACCACACACATTTCCCCCTCAGATGGCCAGGAGAGAAAATGAAGTCAATAGGTATGGGATTAGCTGAATTATCAGGGACTGCAGTCAGAACTTTTAAATATCATAGAAAGTGTCTCTTAATTATTAGGACCGGTGCTTTGAAGCCTAACTTTTAGGTGTAACTAACTTTACCTTTCTAGAAACTAACTGAATAGCATCCTCTTGAAATGCTTTCACTTGGGCCATCCTGGAGGAAACAATCTGCTGTAACTGTTTGTAGGTATATGGCTGGAAGGACATTCTGGTAAGGCCCTAGAACGAAGAAAATGTTAAATATTTAGGTGCCAAAACATCTCAAGAATTGCTTAATACAGAGAAATGTGCCACTTTGTGTACCCGAAACTACTTAAACTGACTTTTAAGCCCTTTTTCTGTTTACTACCTCTCCTTCCACAGCAGAATCAAATTTCAGATTCAAATTTCAAATTTATTACGGCCAATTGACAAGCAGTATCTTCCTTTAATCACATTCTTATCGTATAGATACAAGTTTACAAACTATACTGCAACCCACTTCCTCAAGGCACGCAAAGTGACTATCTAGGAACAAGGAAATTCTGTGTTCATGGAAACGGTTTCAGCTGTCAGTAAGTACTACACAGTTTGCAGAAAACCCAGTTATCTACAGAAGACTGATGAGCCATCAGGCTCCCTCGACATTGAATAATTTTTTATCCTGTATAGAATGAAAAGTGGCCTCAAATCTAACGTTTTGAAGCTACTTTTTAAAAAAGCTAGTGGTAAGCTGGATTCACGTTATGTGTAAGCCACTGAAATAGGGGTTTTTAGAATTAACTACAATAATATTTTGTTTTAGAATTCTCTTGCATTCATGCCGCAAATATGGGTTGATGAAACAGGAATTCCTGTATATAGGATCTATTTCCATCTGTTACCTTTCAGAGTACCTCAACACATCAGAAAAATAAAGTAAGCCAATTACATAGCAGTGTGATACAGATGGGCAAGGAATGTTTGAATAGGATTTGCCATTAACTCAGATCATTTTCTAGACTGACATGCACCATGCCACATTCACTTTTATCATACTGATAAGAACTGATAGCCTAAGCAATAGTTTTTTCATCCAAGAGATATAAGATACAAACCACCTCAACTGAAAGTTATCACACCACAATTAGGTCTGAATAAAGGTGACAAATGAATAGAATCATGGAAGATTCAGAATTCTTTATGACCATAGCAATAAAGCTGCAAGGACATACCAGCCTGCTAGCTACTCGGTTCATCATGATTCTCTCTGGCAGATCCATAGTGTTAGCAATGGCTAAAACGATCAACTTGGAACCCTTCTGCGTTGGCCAATCAAAGAGACTGTACATCACATTTTGTTTTTGGGTCCACAAGAGGTCAAGCTAGGTCAAGGAAACAGAACAAAAGGTTACAAAACAGGAAAATGTTCTAGAAAGATTGGACATATCTGGTTTCAATTGCAGTTTTGTAGACAGACTATAACCTTGTACAAGTCATTGCTCTCTTGATCTTGCCTATTCAAAATGGACACACAAGAATATACAGAGTTGTATATTCCTCACTAGATCCTTACTACTTCCTCACTAGATCCTTACTACTGATTTCATAAAATAAAGGTTAATATTTAAAAAATGTAAACTACATTGCATCTATATGTGTATTAGTTCTTTTCTCTCTCTCACTGAACATGTAGGCAAGTGTACAAACTAGGGATTCTTCCTTCATGCCTCAGTAAAGCTCTTCTTGCAAAACCCACACATTACCTCATCCACAACAAGTACTGTGGTTTTCCTTTTAGGACTAGGTTTGCAGAACATCTTCTCTAGCAGCACTGCAGCATGGGTAGCCGTTGCCTTCTGGTCTGTCAGTAACTGAATGGGATTAAACAGAGTCACAAGTTAAGATCTGGATGGTGAGAGAGCAACAGAATCTGCTCTGCCAAGTTTACCTGTTTAATTTACAGCTCTTTTGACTTATGAACTTAATACAAAGATATTGAAATTGCACTAGACACACCCACCCAACCCACCATTCAGAACCAGACAAGCAAGGCAAAATATGAGGCCTGAGAGCAAACTCAGGTAAGAGTAATGCTGCCAGCTCTGGGTGGGGGAATACCTGGAGATCTTGTGGCTGGAGCCCAGGGGAGGGGAGGATTTTGGGGAGGAGAGGGGGACCTCACCCGGATACAATTAAATAAATAAATAAATAAATAAATAAATAAATAAATGCCACGCTCCAAAGCAGCCATTTTCTCCAGGGGAACCAATCTCTGTCATCTGGAAATCAGTTGTAATAGCGGGAGATCTCCAGGCCATGCCTGGAGGCTGGCAACCCAGCTTATCTCCCTTTTGCAGGTACCACAGCCAGACCAAGTATCTTGATGTTCCCCATTAACAAACTGTTGCAGTGAGAAAAAAATAGGTGTACCTGCAAAAGGTAGTGCCACTCTCCCCTTCCTGGTTCTTGAGAATGATTCCTCTACAGCTACAACATTATTCTTTGTTTATCCATTTAGAGGACTTCTGTCTAATTTGTTACCCTTGAAGGGAGACTTCATATAAGTTTACAGACTGTCAATGGAGTGTTTCCGGAAAAAGATTACCTATGTTAAGATATGATGCAAAGAAAGGGTATATTCTAAAACTACTGTTATGCCACGGGAAGGGCATATGCACAAGATTATTTTTGTCTATCTTAGCCGTCTTCTGGATAGCCATACATTTAATCTTGCTGCAAGTTACAAAATCTTGTATGACCTTTGAGACAAGGCCAAGGATGGACCTAGATTTGGCGACAACTCACCTTGGCCTAAATTCGACTGAGTCACTGCTAGTCCATAGTCCTATCGTCTGATCCCAAGTTTAGAATTATTCTGAAGTTTAGGGACATACATCACCAGCACGGTCTCTATATAGACCAAGGATTCAACTAAAGCCATCCTGAGGATCGTTTTATTATGATTAATAATGTGGACCACCCTTCAGCTGTACCATGAGTCACATACAGCCTCTCCAACTAATGCTAATGATGTAACTGAATGCATTTCAGATTGCATATCATTCCAGTATTGCTTGAAGCAGTACACAAGAAACAATACAGCCACTACAAAGCCCCCCTGGAAAACATCCTCCAAGAATAATGTAGCAACCATGAGCAGGACTCTCAAATATCCCATTACAATTTTTCAGGGATGTTGGTACATGGCTCACTTGGATGCTTCCAGCAATATCAGAGCAACATACAAACCAACCAACCAACCAACCAACCAACCAACCAACCAACCAACCAACCAGTGAGCTAATTTCATTGGGCACTTCATATTTAGTGGGCTGGAAATACATGAGACTGATGCCTGGCTGCAAAAACTCATGGGGGGGACAACATATGCTTGTGGGCCATATATTATTCAAAGTTAGTACTAATAGAGCAGAAGCAGTAATCTCAGTGCTTAGCTGGCTAGAATGTTTTTCCCATTTCTAGTTGGCAGATGACCTGTCTGTTAAAGCAGTCTTAGGTAGTTATTTATTCAAAGCATCTCAAAGGTTTCTAATCAATACTATTTCAAGCACAAAATAAACAAAACAGTCACTCACTTTTAGAATCTGCACATAGGCTTGTTGGGGCTCTGTCAGCTTCATGCCATTGATCTCTATGAACTGGAAAGATGGTAGCTCATCATTTTCTACTGCTTGTTGGAGACAATGAATGACCTCATGAACTGTTGCTGTTTTTCCTGTTCCAGGAACTCCAGAAATGTACATGCACCTTAAGAAGCAAAAAGGCAGTGATGTAAAGATGCAATACAAGCTGGGAACCCCGAAGGATTCTAAGTGGTGGGGAAACACCACCCCAGCCCCCTACGTTCTTCAGTTGCTCCATCTCACTTGCCCAGCTTCTCCGCTCTATTTGTTTAATCTTATTTCTCCTCCTTCCCCAACTGGCGACCTGCTCTTTTCTTCCTCCCAGCCACTCACCTCAGCCACTTGCTCTTTTCTTCCTTCCCCCTCAGTTTTCCTCCCTAGCAGCCCCTGCACTGTTTCCTTCCTTCCTTCCCTCCCTTGCTTTCTCCTTGCTCCTGCTTTCCCTTCCAACTTAGTGATTTTGCAGCTCTAGATTTTGCCACTCAAAGTTCTTTTGTAGTTTTTAAAAGTTTCTGTATTTTAGCAAAAATATCTACTTTAGCTCTGGGTTGTCCTCCCTTGCAGATTTTTTTGATCTGCCTAGGTTGGAGAGCAAACTTGGTTATTAAATATATCTGTAGTCTTCATTCCACGGGCAGGGTGGATTGCAAGCCTCTATAGAGTTGCCCTTTTTTGTGGCTTTTTGGATCTGCTGGTAATGTACGTGTTTAAAGAGCAAAGGCACCACATATCCTGCCTCACTGCATATAAGCTGAAAGGAGCAGAGGATGGCAACGCAACAGTGGAGAGGATTCCTTCATATTTCTAACTCTTTAGTTATTCCTCAGGATAGTACCCCTCTTGTAACCTGGCTTGTTTCTGTCCCTGAATGACTTGGTCTGTTGACTAACGTTCTGTCCTTGGCACTGGTGAGGTCATAACTTGCCCTCTCATCCTGTCATGTGACTGTGATATCAAATGCTTGAAGCTTAGTGGAGTCCCATGCTGTCAAGAAGGGGTTAAAGATGACTGAGATGTAGGATGGTGGAATTAAAGTCTCCTGAATTTTATGCATTATTTATATTTTTTTAAAACTTCCCAGTATTACCTGTTTTCTTATATGCAATGCAGATAGAATGACTTACTGTGCATCTAAGAATCAGCTAATGCAGCTGAAGAACTACATTATTTATTATGGTTCTGATCTGGCAGGTTCTAAAAGCTTTTTCACAAAGACAAAATTATATGCCTCTGTTGTTAAGAAAATCACATAATTGTGCTGAAAAATAATGATTAATGTCAGTGAGTTTAGAATGACTTTATTTCTGTTCAGTCAGACATACAAGTATAGATTTCCTCACTTTCTTCCTCTTCAATGAAATCCAGCATGCGCAAGCAGCTTTTCACTGATCCCAGTAAAATGGCTAAGAGCAACTCACCCTCCTGTTCCATCAAGGAGCTTGCTTTCTATGAAGTTATAGACATCCTGGAATTCCTTTTCACGGCAGGGCAAGGACTCTGGGACAGCAGAAACATGCAGCCTTTGATTAAAAAAAAAAGGCAACTCATTATAAAAGGTAGTTCTGAGCCTTGTTATAAAAGATGCACAAAGTGCAGAACAGATAGCAGTAGAAGTTGTCTTCTGCAGATGGTTCTGAAGAATTATTTTAAGTAGTTCTAAGGCTGCAAGAATACGGCTGAAATGCTGACATTAAGCCTTAACACTGAACTCAGATTTTCAAAGTGCTCTCAATGCAAAATCAAAACATAGGAAAAATGTGGCATACATTAATAAACACACATCTTTTTAAAGGAGCACTGATGTTACTGTTTAAGTTGCGCTTCACAGAATACATAGGGAATGTTTCCAAGTGCCTTTTATTTTGAAAACAGATTGTTCCTCTCACTTCTATTTTATCAGGAGCCTCTCACTTTACCTTATCCTAGCCTCTTCTAGCACATTTGCTGGCTTTTGCGTTGTTTGATTTCGGCTGCGAATTTTGGGAGAAGCATTACGTGGAGTCTTGGGAGTTCTTGGTTGAGGCTGCAGAGGAAAGCGAAACGCTCAAAATAAACACTGCACTGAACCTAACCAACAGCACAACTAGCTTCAAAAAGCTTAGACATAAAACATTTAAAGAGCCTACGTTTAACAGGAACAGTAAAGGCCTGATTATTTGCTTATTTCCTGAAGCTCAGGTGGAAGTTAAACCATCTAGTAAATATTAGAAAATTTGGAACAAAGCTTTTTAGAACATTTAGGACTAAGGCTCACGTGGATGCTTTCGTAATCACATTACTTTATGTTTGTAAGAAGTACATATGAAGCTGTCCTGTACTTTCAGATGACGTTCTCTAAACCTAAATTGCCTACTCTGCATGGCAGCAGCTCCTCCAGAACACCTCTAAGCGAAGGTCTCGCATGACTCTAAAATCTGGTAATTTTTTAACTAGAGATATAAAGCTTCAGCCTTATGGATACAAAGGATATGCTCTGTCATTGAGCTATTACAACAAAACTTACTGTTTTCCTTGAAGTTTTGGCAGGAGTCCCAGAAGATTCTTTTCTTGTAATATTTGGAGTAGACCTTATTTGCCTTTTGGGTGTTTGAAACACCTTTATGTCTTCATCATCACTGCTACTGGAATCAGAAACTTTCACTAGAGGGAAGTACTTTTCTTCATCTTCCTCCCCAGATGAATCTAAAATACTAACAGGGAAAACAGATGCATTATGTAATGTTTAACAGATGAATTGCAATATTAAGTACTACCACAAAAGAGATCCACCGCTATCACCTCTTTAATGTTATCAGTTAATTTATTAGTAAGCAAACAGAAGCTTCCTATAGTTTGTCAAGACAGTCACCAGTACCTAGAATAAATCTCAGCCATGATTTTGTAAGTATTACTATAAATGTAATGTCTTCAGATATCTGGTTCAGTAGGCATACAAGATTTGCCCTGATACCTGAGCACCAAATCACAACTTTCAAGCAATAGGAAATGGGGCCTGTTTATACAGTCATTCAGAAGCACAGATCTAGTCATTAAAAATATTGCCATTGAGCAATCATAAGTGGATGGCAGTTTTTATATTGTCAGGAATATGGCCAGCAGTATAAGGGAACAGTTGCTAGTCTTGACCAGAAAGATCATGGAAGCTATTTTTGCAGACCAGAAACAGAGATGGCCTAGTTTCTCAGCTAAACGTTCCTGGTAAGGAGTCTAGATACTGAGAATAGAATAGCCGCGAAGGGGAGTAAGAAACAAAGAAGTAAGACAATAATAGGGCATTTTGTAGATTTAAAACAATCTAATCCATATCAATAGATAAGGTGTGTCAGGGCCCAGGTGCAAGAAGCATCTGTGAATGGCAAGGGTATCCACCTTCACAGAAAATATAATTCAATGATGGGATGTATTGATGTAGAGCGAACAGATATTTGTATGTATGAAAAACCTGTAATTAGTATTCTTAAGTGGACTTTGTTAAGATAAAAAGTAGCAAGAATGAACATTTTTTGTATATTTCAAGTATAGGTAACTCTGTATGGCGTCTGAAATTATAACATAATTAGGCAAGAATATGTGGCCCTATCAAGTGGGACAGTGAGCTATTGGAAGATTATTTTAAAAACCTATAAATATGGGCATCTAAAGAGATTAAGAGCTTCTTCTTAGAAAATGCTGCTTGCTTCTGATGTGCTTATCTTTGGGTAAGATATTTTAATGGACTCATTTAATTGCTCTCCTTTACTTATATATGTAACAGTAATGGATGGTATTTTTCTTTTGAGTTTGTCAGCATTAAAGATGAAAATAGTTACACTGTAATAAAAGGATAAAATTGAAGCAAAGGCTCTCTAATACTATTACTTGTGTACTATAAGCATAACAAACCTAAACTTTGTTGGGGTATATGTCTTGCCAGGAATTAAGTGATCTGATAGAAGAAAGCTAACCAGCTGCCTAGGGCTTCTTAAATACATGTTTATATCTGAGTCAGCCCACAGCAGAGTCATCCAGAACGATTCGAAGCACTTGTTCTACTTTTCAACATTATGATGCACAATAAGGAGGTTGCATGAAGGTTTTATGCAAGAAGCATCTCAAGAAGTGTTTCTTACAGCTGCTTTTTATTATAAAATAGTGAAACACTCTTCATTATGAGAGTTGAGAGATATATGGAGGAAGGAATGTGGCTGTTGCAGGGACCACATTCAGTCCTTTGCAAATCCACGCATCAGGGTAAGTGTTCTAGCCTCTGCCAAACACCCCTGCTACAACATGAGAGTCCTTTCCTGTGAACCTCACAGGCAGAAGAGAGGGGGAAAGGTTTTGTATGTTACACTGCTGAGTTTTGGAGTGTTCTACGACACAGCAAGATAGCCCTGCCTCCTCTCACACCCCAAAGTCCTTTACAACTCACAAAGGCCTTGGAGCAGAAAAGGGTCAGTGGCAACCAATCTGGCTAGTAAACCAAGACACAGTTCGCAGACCATAACTGCAAACTGCCTGTGAATGTAGCCTGTGTGTTCCCAAAGTGTGTCCCCTTATCATTGGAAGAATTAGCCAGGTGGTAGGTATGTTTTGCCTCATGCAACATACCCCCAGATTCATCTAATCAATCCCATTTGTATGTAGAGATGGTAAATGCGTTCAGCATCTGAAACAAGGAGCAGGTTTAATGCCCTCTCAACAGTGTCCCAAGTCATTTCTTAACTTCATATTTATTTATTGCATTTATATCCTGCCTTTCTTCCATCATGGGATTCAATCATCATACATCTTCCAACTGTACTAGACTAACCTCATAGACCCACCTCTTTATCCACACTGCAGTATGAAAAAACCCATAAATTGGCTTTTATATATGGGTTGGCTATTATGCAGCACCAGCATAACTTTCTGGTAGAAGCCCTGACCTGGATAGCCCGGGCTAGCCCAGTCTCGTCAGATCTTGGAAGCTAAGCAGGGTCGGCCTTGGCTAGTATTTGGATGGGCAACTTCCAAGGAATACCAGGGTTGTGATGCAGATGCTGGCAATGGGAAACCAACTTTGAAATGTCTCTTCCTTTAAAAAAAAACAAGTCTCGCTTGCCACATGCAAACTTCTGGCTTTAATTTGCTGATATAGCAAAAAGGTTTTAAACTCCCTGAAGCTCTTTGTAATAAACAACTCAATGCGTACACATAAAAACACATTTCACCAAGCATTTCAGCATCAGAGAGAGCACATCTGAAAAGTGAACTGGCAGCAGCAGTGTAGCTGCTATAATCACTCACTTAAGATGTTTTGCAATGCGAACAGCAGTCCTCTGTGCACATTTCCTTCGAGAAAGAAGAGTCCTCCGTGTACAGTTCCTTTGAGAAGAAGTCATCACTTTACTCCTGGCATCTGATTCTTGCTCTTCATCCGGACTGTAAGTAAAGAATGGCACAGGTTTCTCTAGCTTCCTTAAACACTATGGTTGGATCCAGTGAACATTCAACAGAAGATACTCATGGTGGAATATCTTTCTCACTTTCTCCTCCTCCAGCAGCCATTTTCAACCTGGGGAAAGTTTTCCTAGGGTTCCAAAGCCCAAATGGATCAACAGCCATCTGGATTGGTTAACTCCAGAGGGAAGCAGATATCACCCTTCCTGCCTGTTCTTTCAGTGGAGCTTGTTCTCATAGAAAAGGAAGCCATTTCACCCCTTTCTTCCTCCTTAATGCTGCCTATCAACTCAAGTGACTATTACTCCATGAAGGTCCTGCCATCAGCTTTCCTGTCATTAGAAATGGCTGCGGGGGGGGGGGGGGGGGGAGAGAAGAAAGCAGGGAAGACCCATAGTTCTTCTGTGAGTGGATCATTGGATCCAGCCCACTTAAAGATACTGGCTTTGTGACTTCCTAGATAGAAACATTGGATTTACTGTGGATTGGAAGGCATCCTTGTCTAGGTTGTGCCTTCTCCTTCCTCCATGGGCAGGGCACATGAAATTTTTTTGCAAAAGCTTCCACTATCCTGAGAAGGTACTCAATCCCCCCTCCCCCAGTTAATGTTTTGCCAAGCTTCTGAGGAAGATAAGTCCATCTCCAACACAGAAGAAGAACAACTCCTCCCCTGAAGATCTGTAACTGGGAATACTGGATGCAGGCTGAAGAAATCTTAGACAGACTCTGTGTTAACCTAGGGAGTTCCTATCCAGTGTCAACTAGGGCAGGGAAGGATACCTTCCAATCCACTGATGAGAAGAAACCGTCATTGTAAGTCCAATGTCGTCTTCTCCATCAGTGGAGGAAAAACAGAGGAGAGGAATTATTGAGGAACTACCTTTTGGAGGATTCTTCTGCCAAACACTGCCTTGACTGAGGTAAACGTGTCTATTCTGTAGAGCCTCACAAAGTTAGAGGTTGAGGCCCAGGTACTTGCCCTACAGATTTCTGTACTGGATGTGTTGGTGGAGAGGGCAGCAGAAGTAGTGGCTGCTATTGTAGAATGGAGCTGTTTGAAGATGCTGAACACTGTAAGCTGGGAAAATGCATGCTTAGATCAACCTGGATACAGTTGACTATGATGCCTTCTTCACCATGGCTAACGAAACAAACAAGGCATCTGAAGATCTGAAAGTTGCTATCCTCTTAACATGGAAGGCCCTCCAGACATCTAGTGTATGTTAGTCATATAACTTAGGATGGCTGGAATGAGTACAGAATGAAACTGATATCTGGGTATCCCTAACCCTCGTGAGCGGATTTATGCTTGCCCGCGGAGACAAATGGACATAAATAAGTCCCAGGAAGCTCTGTGGGATCCAATTCCCTCTGGCAACTCGTTGGATGTGATGGTGGAAAATTGGCAATCCTGTCTTTCCGAAGCCATCAACGAAGTCCCCCCCCCCCGGTGTCCTCTTTGCCCCTGTACAAAACTAGCTCCGTGGTATATCCCGGAGCTACGGCGGATGAAACAGGAGCGAAGACAGCTAGAGAGAAGATGGCGACGAGCGTGTGACAAAGCCACAAGAGCATCCTATATGTCGTTTATTAGAACCTATGAGATGGCAGTGAAGGCCGCAAAGGGTTTCTACGTGACCTCCATTGCGTCTGCTAGCTCTCACCCAGCCCAATTATTGAGAATTATTCGGTCACTGACTAATATGCCACAGGGCATTCCAAACGCTAGGGAATTGGCGATTGGCTGTGAGGCATTTGTGAGCGATTTTGCAGACTCAGTCTTATCACTCTGCTGCAACCTCCCAACCACATTTGATACAACAAAAGAACTGGAAGCCCATTGGCCATCCCTGGGTCCAATTCTAGACCACTTCAGTCTGCTCTCCCAGGACGAAGTTGACAAGACTCTGTGGCTGTGAAGCCTACCACATGCCTCCTAGACCCCTGCCCATCATGGCTAGTTAAAGCCTGCTGCGATGAGGTGCGGATCCTTAATAACTACTGCTCAGTGTCTAATTTACCATTCCTGGGTAAGGTAATAGAGAGGGCAGTGGCAACGCAGCTCCAGACTTCCTTTGAGGATGCTAAGATTCTGGACCCCTTCCAGTCCGGCTTTCGCCCCGCCCACGGGATGGAGATGGTGCTGGTCGCCCTGGTGGATGACCTACGGAGACACCTGTATCGAGGTGGATCGGTGCTGCTGATCCTTCTTGATCTGTCAGCAGCATTCGACATGGTATACCATGATGTGTTAACCCACCGCCTCGCCAACATTGGGATACGGGGTTTTGCCTTGCAGTGGCTAGCCTCCTTCCTTCAAGGTTAGGGACAGAGGGAGAGCTATCCCAGCGACACCCACTGTAATGTGGTGTGCCGCAGGGAGCAATTCTCTCCCCTTTGTTATTCAACATCTACACGTGCCCCCTCACCCAGATTATCCAGAGGTATGGGCTGGGGTGTCATCAGTATGCAGGTGACACTCCGCTCCAGAGGGCAGAGTTTGCAGCGTGGTGCAGCAGACGCTCTTTGGAGCTCTGCCACCTCCGGGTTCGTTTAAAAGGCCTTTCGGACAAATGGAGACCCCCCCCCACTCTCCTGGGGAAAGGGGTAATGGGTTGCAAGGGGCTTGATTTAGTCCCCTGCGCTGTGGCAACATGCAGGGAGCACCAGGGCTCGCCCCCAACACTGGATCCGAAGAGGAGCCTGAATTCCCAGGCAAAGCCTCTGCTTTTTGTTCCGAGAGGGGTTAGAACTGTGAGTAACATTTGAATTACAAAGGGGACATAACGAGGAGACTGTCACAACTAAGCCCCTAAAAGAGTTGTAAATAGCGTGGAGGGAGATTTTCCCCATCAGATAGAGCGGCCAACGAAAGAGAACAGACGGGAACACTGCACTTTCACACCTTAGCTCTTCCCACAGAGACAAAGATGGCCCTCACCTTTCTTTAAACATTTACGATTTTCTCCAGGGGAACTGATCTCTGTCATCATTTGGCTCTCATCATGAAGCCTTGTCCTGGGCCTTGGAGAATGAAGCAGGCATGTCACCCTCATGTGGCAGCTCAGATGGGGCATTCCAACTAAGAATGTTCTTTCTTTTTTTTGGCCCCTGCCACTGCTGGCAGAGAGCGAGATGTGAGAGGGCCACTGATTTCTTCAGATGCTTCAGTATTTTCTCCTACTTTTTTTCCTAACAAGGCGAGAGTGCTGTCACAACTTGTCTACCCATGGAGAGTGCAGGGCATGGACTGGGGTGGGGGATTAAGTGCCTGTTCAGGATACTGGAAACCTTTGCAAAAAATTGCATATGCCCTGTATATGCAGCAAGGCAGTAGCACAAGCCATACAAGAATAACCTTCCTCCACTGCTGGAGAATGTCACTTCCTTAGCTTAGCACCACATAGTTACCATGTGGGTGTAGGTAAGCCAATATTCATTCCTCACACAGCCTTCAAACCTGTATATTTATTTATTTATTTAAAAACAGGTTCCACCTTTTCAAAAGTCCAAGGCAGACTGCAAACTTTCATAACAGAACACAGTTAAACATGTTTAGAATAATTTTAAAAGTCAGTAATGCCCCAATTACCAGGCAGTAATTCTACAAAATCCCAATATTGGTAACTCAAATGTTCTGCCATCTTACTGCCCCCTGTGAAATGCCACCAACACAGAGGAAGAGCAGATTAGGAGCTGCTCCAGAGAAATCCTGGGCCCCAGGACTTGCCATTTCAAACCCACAAGAGACACCAGTGGCAGGACCCGCTGGGAGGATCTGAGCCTTCGTTTCACGTGTCATAGGGAAACAAATCTTTAGCCAAGATTTAAACTGGCTAAATGACAGTTAACAGTAGCTCTGTCCATGTTTGCCGCAACATATATAGTACTAAAACTGTCAAGAATTCCATTTACCAAACCTTTACATTGCAGTAATGGCTTGCTAGATACAGCATAAGGAACATACCGCACTTTTGTCTCACCCTTGCGCACTTTTGTCTCACCCTTGCGCAGGGCAGCATGCATGGTTCTCCCCTCCACCATTTTCGATCCCATAGCAACTTTGAGGTAGGTTAGGGAGAAACTTGTTCAAAATTACTCATAGATGCATAAAAATTAGAAGCCATGTCTCCCAACTCCTAGTCTAACACTTGACACTGCTCCAACGAACATACTACAAATTAATTTTATACCAGGCATGTAATGTAACCTCTTAAAATTGAATTCACACCCTGAACTGGATAGCCTGGGCAGATCTTGGAAGCTAAGCAGGGCCGACCCTGGTAAGTACCTGGGAGATCTCCAAGGAATACCAGGGCCGGGACGCAGAGGCAGGCAATAGCAAGCTACCTCTCTGAAACGTCCAGACCCCACTAGGGGTCACCAGAAGTCAACCATAACTTCCAGGCATGCACACACACACACTACTCACCAAAAAAAAGCCTCTGTATTTCCTCACAGAAACTTAAGAGTTTATCGGTACAAACATTACAAACACAGTACACAGTCACCTCTAAAGATCACTTACACTTGCTGGTTAGGATTGCTCTTGAGTGTTGCAACTTGCTTCACTGAGTTTTTGGATGTCTTGCAAATCTTATCCCTGTCATCTGTACTCCTTGAATTAATTGGGGGGAGAGATGGAATAAAAAAGAAGTGTGATCATAAAAGGGCAATTAAAAAAAAAAGAATCCAATCCATATAATTTAGACCCTGGTTCTTCACAGCCGACTTATTCTCTATTCTTACATTTAAATTATTTTAAAGTTATTTTAAGTAGAATGGGGTTAACATGAACAAAACATAGTTTGAATAGACAGAGGACCAAAAAGAATAAAAGTTCTAAAATGATTCCAGATCCACTAGCCAGAATCTAAAAAACTGCTTTAGATTGTGCCTAAGAGTTTGAGGATGTCCACACACTAACCCCCACCCCACTTCCAGGCATCAAGAGGTCTGAAATCAGCCAAGTTTCAAACGCATTTTGCCACATGGTTGGAGGAAATGCTTTTGAAGAAACAAGTTCAAAGCCCTCTTTGACACAGACAATTAGTTGTATACTTCTGCAGGTCCTTGCCAATGTCTACAAGACAATTATTGTTTTTTAACACCCATGCATAGAGGAATGACAAGTATTTTTCTGCATTTTCACTACATAAAGATTTTTGGCTATTTAGCAGACTCTTACAAAACAAACAGCAAAGAACAGAAACAGAATGTACACTTTAACAATAGCTTCTTTGGTTTTCATTTTTTAAGATAGAGGGACTTGTTAAAATAAACCCTATCTTTCAGATACAAAATATTTCTGTCAGTTTCCTCTTCTCTTTTCCTCCCTTAAGAATGATTATCCAAAGAGCAACTTTTCTCCCAGACGATCTAGATCAGGGGTGTCAAACTCATTTGTTATGAGGGCCGGATCTGACATAAATGAGACCTTGTTGGGCTAGGCCATGCGTGTCATAAAATGTAATGCCAGGTAATAGAGATATAAACTTTATAAAGGACACAAACGGATTTTTTTTAACTTAAAAACATGCTTAAAACATCAGCAGTCTTGCAATCTTTTGTTTATTTAACAGTGTCTAATAACTGACACCTCTTGCTCTGAATTATTGCATCAAAATGTCTGTGCTGTTGCAATCCTGAGTATGCTGTTCAGGTGTGTATCTGTAAGTTGCAAACCTATGATGACGCAGCAGGAACAGAAATGGAAGCAGAAGCAGAAGACAGCCAGTTCCACTGCAGGCCTGATAGAAGCCCACCGGGGCCTGATCTGGTCCCCGGGCCACATGTTTGACACCCCTGATCTAGATATCTGAAAATAAAATCAAGCTTTTTTTAAAAAAAGGTTTTAATTCATGTCCAATATTTATGACCGGCGGTGTCACTCACTCTCCAGCATTGTCCTTCACGGCAAAAATCCTGGTTTTCCAAGTGGTATCTTGGTTCCTCTCGGAAGAAGATAATACACATGCATTAGATCTCTCTGATGTGTCTCCCAATGGCTCAGTGTTCTGAAACTGATTGTCTTCATCAGTAGGACAAGATACTTTGGGAGGTGAGCCTTTAATGCCAGTGAATGTGACTTTGCGTTTAAGTGGTGAGTGATCCAGGGACTCAGTGAAGTTAAAGTCTAGAAGCTCAATAACATCTTGTTCATTGAATATACTTCTTGGAAATTTGGTAGGACCTATAAACCAAAAACATCAAAATATTTTGTGTAAGTTTGTTTGGTAACAATCAGTTCTGAATCCATGCATGAAGGGTGCAAAATTTCAGTTGTATGTAGCAACACAGAATAGAACTTGTAAATGTCTTTTTGCGTTAGTAAATTTGTTCTCAGTAAAATTATTTTAGTCTGTATGCCCAACCAATAAAATGGAAGGACAGAGTCAATCTCTCCTGCATTCACTTGTACGTGCCCCAATTCTTATCAAAGAGAGACATGTTCTAACCATCAGTGTACCTGCAAACTCCATAAAACTAAGTTTGTTCTTGAGTAAACTCTAGAAACTCAGTGGACAATAACATAATGTAATCCGAGACAGATTCTGGGGCACAGCATTTAGATATATTGATAACGGTATTAATAAATGCAACACAACTGGAGTTATAAACAAAGATACCACCACTATTCTTGGCCCCACCACATACAAATAGTTATGTATATTATCTTACAAAAAGGATTTAGGAACAAATTATTTCCCTCCAACAATCTGTAATGGGAAAAGGATGTCCAAATTGAGCAGCTAAACCGTATGCTAGATCTGAATCCAGAAACCCTCCCTAATGTGTATTCCTTTACATCTTACTAACCCAGAGGACTGAGATATGTTCATTCAGAAGTCTCAGCATGCACAACTGTAGCATAGTTGCCTTCAGCACAAGAACACAATGTTAGCTATGGCTCTTCATGAACACATGAAGCTGCCTTATCAATCAGGCCATTGGTCCATCAAGGTCAGTATTGTCATTCTACTGTGACTGGCAACAGCTCTCCAAGGTCTTAGTTAGAAGTCTTCACACTACATAGTTCTTTTAACTGGTGATCCCAGGACTGAATTTAGGACCTTCTGCATGCCAAGCAGCTGTACCACTCAGCCACAGCCCCTCTCCTGAAAGTAGTATCATTCATGCTCTTGTACCACTCAGCCACAGCCCCTCTCCTGAAAGTAGTTATCATTCATGCTCTTGACCACAGTAGATGCCTGATATGAAGATGCAGATGGTTAATATTGCTGCTATCTCCTGTTCAAGGATTTCAGGTGTCCTGATTCACAATAGCTTCTTTATCCATAGAACTCATGTTAATGTTGATTTCATGCAGCCAGCCACAGAAAGATTCCTATTGTACCTGTTCCCAAAGAATTAGGAAAGCAGCAAAGCTCATAGTATAGCATTTTAAAACATGCATTCCTCCATGGGAATTATTCTAAGGTACTTGGGTGGGGGGCTGTGGAAACAAGCTCTCAATTACAAATTTGTGCTCTGGGGTGAAAGGCTCTTGTTTTGAAATTACAGCATCCAAGAAAGTCCTGCAAGAGTTATTCATAAACTATCCTGGCCCCACTGGAGGACCTCCTGAAGGCACCTGGTATTTTTGGCCACTGTATGACAGAGTTTTGGACTAGATGGGCCATTGGCCTGATCCAACATTGGCTTCTCTTATGTTCTTATCCTTTTCAAGATCAGATACCCCATTTCCAGCTTCCAGAACCGTAAGACCCACTATCAGCCAAGAGCAATATCTGTATGATTCATGGCATACATACTGTTTAGCTGTAATTTTTTCTTCGCTGCTGGGGTGTTGGTGCTATTGGCCACTCTTTGTGAACATCTTTCCTTAGACAAGGATGACTTGGCATTTGAATGTTTTGATTCTGCTTCCATCTCATTCTTGGTACTTTGAGTCACCCTCCTGGTTTTTGCTTCTGCAGAGCAAGTGGTACGTGGGGGGGTCACTTGGTATTCAGCTGCAACGTTCACAGCATCACTCTTCATTTTCATAGAATCTTTCAGCTCTGCCAATAAGCTAGACAACAAAGGTTTAAACTTTTTGCCACTCCACGACTCCCTCACAAAGAGCATCTCTTTATTGTGAAGCACAGCGGGAAGCACTTCACTCGGTGACACTGGGATAACCTAAAAAAGCAAAACATCAGATGATTGTACTTTATGTTAGAATGTGCTATTCATATAGTAAAGGTTCCCTTGCTCGAAAGCCAGTCGAGTCCGACTCTAGGGTTGCGGTGATCATCTCCATTTCAAAGCCGAAGAGCCAGCGCTGTCCGAAGACGTTTCCATGGTCATGTGGCCGGCATGACTAAACACCAAGGCGCATGGAACGCTGTTATATAGTACTTCAGTATTATCAAATATCAGACTTTAACCTAGCTTTCAATACTATATTAAGCCTATGTAGCTTTAGTTTCTAAAGCATCACCAAGGCAAGACACTCCTTTAAAAACATAAATCAGTTAATCCTCTGAATGTTCAGCAAAACAGAACAGAAAATTGAAACTCAGAGCTTTAGAATTACCTCTTTTGTTTGATACCAGCTGTTCACAGTTCTTATACTGTGTATCTCAGGTTATTACCCAATTACGTAACTCTTAGTCATTTAGTACTGCATACATTTTCATACAAGTAAAGATAGTTCTGGAGAAAAAGATAATGCATATTTACATTACACCAGGCCGCATACTAGAAGAGACACCCATTACTATGTGAGAGAGGAATATTTCCTCTAAGATTGTGATTGCAATCTGCAGTTTCTGTAAATAATTACAAATAACTAAACTATTTTTTAATAAAAAAAGTTCTTGGGACTGGCTATTTGTCACCTACTGAATTTCAGCAACTCCTGTATAAATAAGTTAGTTCAGTACTTGCTTGCTGAACAATAGCTGGCACATACATAATGTTCAACCAGACATTTCAGTTGTTTGGGTAGCCATTTTTTATTAAAAATAGTTTAGTTATTTGTAATTATTTACAGAAACTGCAGATTGCAATCACAATCTTAGAGGAAATATTCCTCTCTCACATAGTAATGGGTGTCTCTTCTAGTAAACCTGGCACGTAAGACTAAGATACTTAGTATGTCTTAACTCACAGTTGCAGCGCAGTTTTAGCTCTCAAATTTCCCCAAGAACACTGAATCAAGCATTACTACCAGTTCTGCCCTGCCAATGTCATTCAAACACCCTATACACTACTGCTGTGCTACAGCACAGAACAACTGGTATTTCCTCCAGTGAAGTCAAAAAAATTTCAATGGTCAAGGACACTTGTTATATATGGATATTTAAATCTATTTCTGTGAGTGCTCATGTAACAAGTTCATATTTTTCATCCCTCAAATTTGTTGAATAACTAGAGTGGTGTTTCATACAGAGACTCAAGCCAGCCTTTCAAAACACAGTTTAAGACCTTTCAAAAGACAGTTTAAGGAACACAAATATCCAGCATCATCACAGTTATGCATTATGAACTTAAGAACTAGAAACTCTCTCTTCCCTTCTGTTCTTTTACAAGAGTAAAATATACACACCGTGACATTACTAATGATAGATGTAATGAGTATGTCAGTATCCCACTCAGGATTTTCATTTAAAAATATCTCCTGAGAATCCTCTTTTCCTAAATTTATGCGTTGATAGAGAGGTATTTCTTCAATATGAGAAAACCACTGAACAATTGCATGTTTTTCCTTAGAACCTGAAGCAGACAAAAATACATACACACACAATTAATTTCTGCATAAGTAAAAACACTAAAAGCATTTTAGCTTAGCAATGATTCCTTCATTTCACAAAATCTGGATGGTCTACAGTATCGTTTCTCTTTTTTTTCACTTTCAGGAAACCTTTCCCACATCTACTAGTCTGATAAGGAACCACTATGCATTTACCAAAGCTGTGGGTGCAGAGAATTTTGAGATGCTTTCTTAGGATATACAATCTTTTCCAGTGAAGGGCTGGCCAGCTCACCACTGCCCTGTGTGGCCCAAGACTGCATGATAGGACACACTGTAACATTCTCCTATAACTTTGTATTTTAGGGGATAATTATCTATCGTGGACACTCTGTCTTTCAGGAATGGCCGTCTACCATTACCAGGCATCAACACCCTCTAGGCTCACACTCTCTATGTGAGCCTATCCAAAATGGTGTGGAAACTACAGTGAGCAAAAAAAATGCAGTCAGACTATTTAGAAGCACTGACCTAAACAAACATACTCCAAAGCCAATCAAACTGCTGTAGAAAAGAGCAAGAGACCAGTAGCACCTTAAAGAGTAACAAAATAAATGGCAGGGTATGGGTATGAGCTTTCATAATTCACTGTTCACTTCTTCAGATACAGCTAAAATGTGAGTCCATCTGTCCTATTTATTAAAAAGTGGAGTTATTTCAGATGCCAAATGATATTAGCAGGCAAATGACAATAGCAGGTGACTGACAATAGCAGGCATGATTGGATTTAGGTGAGATATGCAGAGGGGTAATAGGCATGGAGAAATCAGCATTAGTAATGAGACAGGAAACCTAGATCTCGATTCAGTCCAGGAAGATGCATTGTCTTGAGCATCATTATCAGTTGCAATTCAGCAGTCTCTCTGCTTTGGAGCTGGAAAGTACACAGCCTGTGAAAGTACCCTAGCATTCATTCTGAAAACCACTGGGCCACACCTATAAAATACACAAACAACCTTACGCCGCCCAGAACATGACTTACGCAGCATATAATATATATCCACCACCAGAAAATAATTAAATAATAATTTAAGCTCCTTGTTAATGTTCTTAATTCTTCCTGTAAGATTTCCACTTTACAAAAAAGGAGTAAGGCTATCTACTGAACATTTTAGGAGAGAGGTGGAAAAAACAGATTGACACTGAATGTACTGGTTTTGTCAGGAAAACACATACTGAAAAGGTTTTAAATTATGTATCTATGATGTTAATGTACAGAGTTAATTCCTATAATAATCTTTATTTTGCTTGGGGTCCTAGAGCACTGGGACATTTGTTCAGAACTATAACCTTAATGTAGCAAAAAGCATAGCCCAGAAATATTGCATGGTTTGCAGTGTTCCTTCTAAGCTAAGTTAGTGTGAGCTAGCTCAGTTTTTTAGCCTCCGGCTCACACATTTTTGTCTTAGCTCAGGAAGAATGGCTCCAGAGCAAACTAATTTATGCAGAAACCAAATCACTCACTCACAATTTTAATGCCAACAGCTCACAAAGTAGAATTTTTGCTCACCAGACTCCACAGCTTAGAGGGAGCATTGATAGTTTGGCTTTGCCTCAGACCTCTTTTAGAATACCTAATGATGGGAGCCTTCCTGACCAGCATTTGACAAATTAACAGGTAATGCACAGGACAAAAATTCAAAGGGAAAATCAAAAAGCTTACCATCTTCATATAATTTTAGAAGTCTTGCCACGAGAATCTGCTCTGTGTTCTCACCCTCTATTAAAATAAACTCTCCAGGAAAAATGCGGGTTTCAGTTGTATTTTTTCCTGATTTAATACACATTCCCCTAGAAAGGGATGATTATAAATGTTTTCCACATTTCTTGCAATTAAGATGCATTGTCAAGGTTATCAAGTACAATCTTTTCCTCTCTTCCATTCCCTCTTATTTGTTTCTATGTCTTTCAGATCCACACATCCTTCTTTAAAATGAACCCACGAAGCTAACTTATGCTGAATCGGATCACTGGTCCATCAAGGTCAGGACTGTCTACCAGCAGCGGCTCTCCAGAGTCTCAGTCAAAGATCCTTCCCATCTTCTACTACCTGATTCTTCTAACTGGAGATGTCAGGAATTGAACCTCTAGGACCTTCTGCATGCCAAGCAGATGCTCTACCACTGCGCCACAGCCTTTCCCTAAGTAATCCAGTCCACTTCCTACAGCAATTAATTATGAGTAGGCCAATAGTTAATTCTGTGTGAGTTATGGACACAGACAATAACTAATACACTTGTAAAAACATTGGTGAAATCATACTATCTATAGCTTCTATGTACACAATTATAATTTTAGAGGCTGCCGAAGAATTTGTGCAGTCCTGTTTAACAAAACAAGTCAGTACTGACGAACACTTTAAGGCAAGAAATGAAGAACACAAAAATCCAACACTGAGGTTATTACTGGTTAATCCCTTTCCCCATCTCTGCTATGATCTTCACTCCTCCACCTTTGAAACTCCAAAGACATCATAGTCACTTAAATGACTGCATCATCTCTCAGTCCTGGAACTCTCTCAAGGAATGTCTACATGATATTACCACTTTCCGTTTCTTAACCCTAGGCCTGATTCTCCACTGAAACTAAGGCCTGGTTTTCATACAGAAGAAAACCAGGTGGGAAAAAAGATAACATGGAGTGCACGCCTTCAGACTGCAGGAGGAGAATCACATTTTGGAATGCTCCCCTAGATTAAACCCTCCCTGCAAATAGAAAAGCAATACAGCAAGTGAAAAAATGGAATAAATCCTCTATCTTTCCTGTATCAGTTTTCTGTGCATGTAGTTTTTTAGCATAATTCAAATTCAGAATCCACCGTCAGCAGTACAAAGAAATGCAGTCCATTGTACCACCTCATTTTATGCATAAAAATACATATATTTCTTATTATCCTCACTTCACCTGCCTCCTCTGTGTCACATTATACAGATTTCCCTTTTCATTTATTACTGTGTAATAATTAGAACTATGTTATTATGCCAACCATTCCTATACAAAACCCGGATTTATTTCATTATTCATTCATCTGTCCTATTTATCTGTCTAGATACAAACCCATAATTGGAGATCTGTAGTTGTTTATCAAAAGAGATGGCTCTTCCATACCAAGAGTAAATGCGTTTACCCGAATTCCTTGTATTCATGTTTTCCTGTGAAGAAATACAAACAAAATAAATTTTGTATGCAGATATACACACTCTTACAAAGACACGCACACAGAGAGAAACTGCTTATGTTGAAGTAACCCGTTTCGTGAATACTACATCCCTCTAGCGCCCACTGGCGAATGAGAGAAGGTGCAGGGGAGCAGGGTTCCACTTGCGGGGTTCTGGGAAACCTTCGCACTCCCTTTTTCTATGTATTTCCTGACCTCAAGCCCGACTTCGGCTGCTGCATGCCACCCACCAGCAACAACAATTTGCTCGCTAGACTGAAGAACCCGTACAAGGAACTAGATGCGGCGCACAGCGAATTCTTCCTCAGGATGAAATTTCGCGCCGAACTGAACGCGCCCCGCCCCGCCCCGCCCCGCCCCGGAACAAGAAGCAGAAGCATTGCCGGGGAAAACTCACTTCCGCCATGTCTGTTCCAGTCTCTATGATGCCTGAAATAGGATACCCGTTTGCCCGGCGCTAAGATGACAGATTGGAAGCGTCAAAGTTCAACCTGAAAGGAATAGACCCCTGAAACGGAAGCGGAAAGCGCTGAGTTTGTCCGGTACCACAGTAGTCCACTTGTTCCGCTATATTTTCTTTCCTTTTTCCTCGGTATTGGTTCTCGGCCTCACAATGGCAAACCGGACAGTAAAGGATGCGCATAGCATCCACGGCACTAACCCGCAATACCTGGTGGAGAAGATTATCCGCACTCGCATCTATGAGTCCAAGTATTGGAAGGAAGAATGCTTTGGTCTGACTGGTACGGTTTGGGTAGCTATGAGGGCAACAGCGGGGGGCGGGGAGGACCATGTGGGGGGAGTATGTCGGGAGAGGGAACCTGAAACAGGAGGGGGAGATGGTGAAATAGAGGCCCTGCTATCCATATTTTAGGACAGTGGTGGCGAACCTATGGCAGAGGTGGCACTCAGAGCCCTCTCTGTGGGTGCCATCGCCCCAGCCAGGCCCAGACCATCATTAAAGTGTCGAATTCTCTGCCAAATAATTTTAAGTAAATGAAAGCATTTGGGATTGCTTTCCTTACTTTGTTTGGATCATCTTAAGTTAATGTATGAGTTGTTTTTTCTAAAGTAAAACCTCAGTATTCAGGTTAAATTGTCGTGTTGGCACTTTGCGATAAATAAGTGGGTTTTGGGTCAGTTTGGGCACTCGGTCTCTAAAAGGTTCACCATCACTGTTTTAGGATAGTAACGACAATTAATGCCCCTCTTTCTTTCATTGGTATATTAGCTGAACTGGTTGTGGATAAAGCTATGGAACTGAGGTACACTGGTGGAGTTTATGGTGGAAACATCAAGCCCACGCCATTCTTATGTTTGACTCTGAAGATGTTACAGATACAGCCTGAAAAAGACATCATTGTGGAATTTATAAAGAATGAAGATTTCAAGTAAGGAGCTCTTCAGTCTGAACACGAAGTTTATACTTTGTCCTGTACTTGAAAGTAACTAGTAGCATTTTGTAGGTGTCCAGGTTCACATTACAGACTCTTTATAAATCCTACATTTAGTAATTTATATTGTTTCTCACACTGTATGTTTCTTGACAAATCAGAATTTTATGGATACATTCTTTGTTATTTGCTACTTTGTTTTCATTAATCCATTTGACAATGTTCCCTCACCAATCTCCTGGTGGTATGAATCTACTGAGTATTTTGTATGTGCAGACTGATCTGCAGAACAGCAAATGAAGATTCCAGTAATCATGAACAATGATGTTTCAAACTAATCTAACATGTGAAGGTTTCTATTTTTAGATTACTATACTTGAAAGAATGCCATTCCAAAATATTTTTTGTGCTTGCTAATTTTCAGGTATGTGAGATTGCTGGGTGCATTGTATATGAGACTAACTGGCACTGCCATAGACTGCTACAAATACCTTGAACCCTTGTACAATGATTATCGAAAAATAAAAAACCAAAATAGAAATGGGGGTAAGTGGCCTGATTTTATAATTCATGTCCCTAAAATGAGGTGGTATTTGTCAACCATAAGTCACATGTATAGATAGAATCAATATTCTTATTAATTTTAATAAGCAGCCTGAATAGCCCATTTCAGCCTTAGCTTGCATGCTAAGCAGGGTCAGCCATGGTTAATACTTATGTGAAAGACCACCAAGGAAGACTGGGATTGGCAAACCACCTCTGCTTGTCACTTGGCTGGAATGCCCCATGGATGGGGTCACCATGAGTAGGTTGCAACTTGGTGACATCTTCTAATTTTGATGCCATATATATGGATTTAGTCTTTACCAGGTGTCAAATAAGTTGTTGCTTGCTTCACTGTAACCATATTATTTGAAGATAAACTGCAGTTTTCTTGGAGAATGTGAGGAGAAGCATGGCATCAGGGATTGCTGAAAACTGAAGTATTTCTTATTTTCTAACAATAATTTTTTTTGGAAAATAGAGCTATAAATTATAGGGTGGCTGTTTGCATTCTAAAATAAACTATTTTTTCTTCCAGAGTTTGAATTAATGCACGTGGATGAGTTTATTGATCAATTGCTCCACGATGAACGTGTGTGTGATATCATTTTACCTAGACTACAGGTGTGTAACAATTAATAACGTATTAATGAGAAAAACAAGACTAGAGTATGTGCCAAGTAGTAACAAGATTTGACAAGATCCTTGCTACTTTTGCAAGTGAGGCTACAAATGCATGGGCTGTTGTATCACCCTTCCACCCATTAAGCATTGCCTACACTGAAAAGCTGTTGGTTATTTTTAGAAACGGTATGTCCTAGAAGAAGCTGAACAGCTGGAACCACGCATTAGTGCACTGGAAGAAGATATGGATGATGTGGAGTCTAGTGAAGACGAGGAAGAAGAGGATGAGAAGGTTTAAGTATTTGTGTGGTCTCTCTTCTGGTTTTTTCTGCACACACACACCCTACTCATACTGAGTTTGCTTGATAAAATCCTTAATACTAGATTGTATTTGACTTTCTTTAGAGATGCATTGTACTCAGGTATTTTAACAGAGTGGTTTTGTTTGTAATACTTACAGATGGAAAGGGCTCCCACACCTGATCACAGGAGAAGAGGCTACAGGGATCTAGACAAACCCCGGAGATCTCCAACTCTGCGGTATAGGAGAAGCCGAAGCAGGTCTCCCAGAAGGTACATTTTTGGAAAATCCTTTCAATCAACATAAAGCTCATCCTAAAAAGATGTAAGACTAATACACTTACCTCCATTATCCCCCCCTTCTGTTTCAGACGAAGTCGATCTCCAAAGAGAAGAAGGTAGGAGAACTACTGAACTGTTTTTTAAAATTAAATTCCATATGTCATCACGCAGTCATATGCTGGCTATGCCATCATTTAAGGTGGTCTATCCAGCATCAACCAGAGCCCAGGCCTTTTCTATCATGGCTCCAGCTCTGTGGAATGGGCTCCCTGAAGAGATGCAGAGAGGAGGATTTCCTCCTTGAAGATCTTCAGGAGGTATTGGGAGGCCTGACTGTTTGCTAGGGCTATTGAGGGAGTCTGAATAGGCAGGCATCTTTGAAGGGGGAGGAAGTTTTGGGATTTGTTATTTTATTTTTGCCTTTAATCTGAAAATGTTTGTAGCTATTATTGCAAGCTGCCTTGAACCATGAGGAAAGGCAGATATATTTTATTCAATAATTAAATAAATTAGGTTTAACACTAATAATATCCTGTGTTCGATTAGTCCTTCACCACGGCGGGAAAGGCACCGTAGTAAGAGCCCAAGGCGGCATCGAAGCAGATCCAGGGACAGACGGCACAGATCAAGATCTAAATCTCCAGGTAGTTGAGTTTGTGATTTCTCTGGTATGTGACTCATGAAAACTCATACCCTGCCACAAATTTTGTTAGTCTTTAAGGTGCTACTGGACTCTTGGTCCTTTCTACTGCTACAGACACAGACTGACTAACATGGCTACCCATCTTGATCTATTTGGCATGTCAGTAACTAATAGTTTCAGCTCCAGTTTCTACCTGTTTGTTTTTATCGTATCTCTGTAAAGCACCCTCCTTAATAATTCTGCATTATGTGGACTGGAACTTAGAAGGAACCCTATGCAGATGATTACTCAAAGTAAAGATTTTATGTCTTATTTTTGACAGGACACCATCGTAGCCACAGACATCGCAGTCATTCCAAGTCTCCAGAAAGGTATAGACCATATTTTGCTGCTAAATAATAATGGTTTAGCAATGACTTTGTTCTTAGAAGTTTCTTTTTCCATGGTAACTGTCAAATTCCAAACAGTTTGTGTGTAATTGGGAGAGTTTGTTAAAAATGTCATAACTGACCCATAATCAAAATACTGGTCATGAATGTGCAATTCACATATACCCATTGGAATCAGACAATTGAGAAAATGTTGTTGTACTTTCAGATCTAAAAAAAGCCATAAGAAGAGTCGTCGGGGAAACGAATGACTTGGACAGTGTAGCTGAGCCATCTTTGTTTGTAGATACGCACTCAGAAGATGGGTAGCTACTGCTGCAGTAGCCAACTTTTTGTATTATTTTTTAGTGTCTTAGACATGATAGTATTCTTTCTGTCAGATACAAGAAGGACATTTTCAATGTACAATCTGTTTAAATTCTTTTGAAAGCCAGTAAAAAAACCCAGCATAAGATAAGGAGCTGTGTAAATTCATTACAAGACCCGTTAATAAAGAATTGTTTATTTGGCGTTTTTACAATGTCTGATTGTTATGCAACTACTCATTTTTACAAAGCCCAACAAACCATCAAAATACTACTAAGACTACAGGGATTGGTAAGTGAGAAAGCGGATAATTATTATTGTAAGTTCTGTATGAAAACCATTATGTTATTAATATTCCTTTCTACATATGTCCTGCATATGATTATACTTATACATCTCCCAGAGGTGATGAACTTGCACAATTTTCAGAAAGATGGTATGCAGAGTTGCAATTTAGGGGAAGTTTGCAACTTTAAAAAATGGTCTAATACACTCCTTTATAACACAGGGATTGGTAATCTAAATTGACAGAGCTTCTGGGCATATTTTGCCCACCTTTCTAGAAGGTAGGAGTGTGTGACATTGCATTCAGCATATATGCTTTTCAAAAAAATTTTATAGAAACATGTAATTCATCCTAGGTATTCCAAGCATTCTCTTGTGGATGTCATAGGCTTAAATTCTTTAAAGTAGGAAGTTTCAATACAAACAGAAGGTAACAAACTTTTCATTTGAGTTCTGAACAACTCAGCATTAATAGTAGGTTACCATATGGAACCTATGCAAATTTAGTCATAATCCAGTCATACTGAATTATATTGCAACCCTAGTTTGCAGGCACATTGGATTATATTGCTTTATAATGTTCTCTAACATTTTGGTTATTCTCAATGATAGAAGTTCAGGACTGAGGGAAAGCTGCTGTTATCCAGACTGCATACACTAGGGGTCTCCAACAGGCTGTTTGTGAGCTACTCGCAGCTCACCAGCTGTTATAAAGTAGCATGTGCATCCCTAGAAAAACCAGGAAAAGATTGCAAAAAGATCTGCTCTAGGTTTTTGTTCTTTAAAATGTTATTTCATAGGATTATGAAAGCTTCATTTCTAGTCCATGTCAATGTCTTACTGCTCTTCCTAGTCCATGTTAATTTCTAGGACAGAACAAAATTAGGTAACATGTCCAGGGCAGGGGGGTACCTTAGGATATTTTTCATTATTCAGAAATGGCTCTCTTTAAAAAGTTGGCAATTTTGGACAAACAATCTGTCTTTAATTTGTCAAGTGAAGCATCAAGCATATACACTTATTCATCAATGTAAGGATGAACAGGAGGAATTTCAAGAGGGAGAGATGGGCTGGCCTTCACAAGCCCACGGGCTTCCTCTCTACTTTCACTTCTGGAATCTGACCAAAAAACTTGCAAAGACTTCTGTAAAGTCTGAAAGTTTATGTAGTCTGATACTAACTTAAGTTGGTTCTGAAGTGATATTTAACCTAGTCTGTAATCTTAAAAAGACTAACATTATAGCCAGATGCACCCAAACTAGAAGAACATTCTGGTTGTGATTTCTAATTTTGCAATTTTATTTGTTTCTTTAAAAAAATTTGGCACTACATTGTTCTGTAAAGGTGACAGTCTTTAACACAAAAAAACCCCTTTCTAATTTCTTTTTAGAACAATCGATATAAAGTTTGAACCAAGGTATGAATAAAGCTAATAGAAAATAAACAACTTAATTTTAAAAACTCTCTTTACATTTTATCAAGATAAAATAAAACACAGTTGCCCTTAAAATAGGGTAATAAAATAGATGACATTTGTATCACAGTTGTGATACTGGTAAAAACTATATTTTATATCTATGTACAAATGATACAGTTAAAAATTTTAAATAATCTCTAATCCAATAAGATTTTAATCCAGAACCTGATTTCTTCCCATCCTCTTAATTAAACTTCATTTTTTCTGTTGAATAAAATTCATGTTCAAGTGTGGGTGTCCTTGAGACAGAAGAGAAAAGCGCTGGTTGTTCTGCATCAGTAAGCCAGCTAAAAGAAAATGAATTACAATTACTTTAGCGGACACATTAGTTAAATCTACTGTACTTAATACACAGGTTAAAGACAAGTTGGATACAATGCCCAGTGGGCTTCACAGTGGGAATGGTGACTTGATGGACAGGAGACTGTAACACTCAGATGTATCAGCAGACTGTAGTTTAGCTGTATAAGAATTATCCCTTACTAAATCTGAATCTTGAAAAGTCCACCTTGAGCAGATAGTGGCTTAACAGGCAATCCTGTAAGGCAGATAAATTTGAAACTATTCAGGAAACATCAATGTAAGGAACATTTGCCGAAGTAATTTCATACTACTTATCTCTACAATTAGAGTGATTCTTTTGTTGTCAAAGGTTACAACTTTAACAGTCATAACAAAAAGGAAACTTGTATAGATGAGAAACCAAGGAAAATCCCTTCTTCTGCAGAAACAACAAATTAATTAAATTAACAATGTGAATCCTGTTAATCTTGTTCCAGTGACCCAAAGGAGGCAAGCTGCATTCAGACAATTGATGATTAACTCCCTAATAGTATGCCTGTAAGCATACCAGCTTAGAAATAAGTTTCAGTGGAAAACCAAAAAAACTCCTTTAAGGGAAGAATTTATATATAAATTGTTAGAAGTGGCTGAAATTGAAAAGTTAACTCTTATGTTACAAGGTAAAAATGAAGAAGTATTTGAGAACTTATGGTCAAGAGTCTATAGATGGATTGAGAAAACCTCAAAGTGATGAATTCCTAAATTGCTGTAAAGTGTAATCTTATAAAACTGTAAACACTGGAAGAATCTTGGTACTATGATATGTTGTAAGCGAAATTCCAAGATGTTTTTCTGTTTTGGAAAAATTAAAAATATAATTAAAAAAATAAGTAAGTTTCACTATATTTAAAGATCTATGATTCTTACATCTTATTAAAGGCTGATTTGCAACTACCATCCTAACTCTCACTGATTCCCATGGGGTTATTTCAGGATAAGGGGATTAACAGCTGTAGACAAGTATCAGTGAAAAAAAGAGTTAGCGAAGTGCTTCATATATTTGCTCTAGTACCTTGAGGGTAGAAAGATTTGTTCAGTGGATAGCTGGCATTTCCCTGTTGCATGTAGTTTGGAGACATACTGTAAGGCCACGTCCCTCGAAGTAGAGGAAAATGGGCAGGGGCACTGGGGTCCCAAGGAACAGGAGGAGGAGGAGGGTTCACTTTACCAAACTGTCCTTGGAAGCTCTGATCTAGTATTTATTCAAAAGGGAAAAGGAGGCATCGCTTATCATGAAACATTATATGAAAAAGTGCATCAGTAACTGCCAAACCTTTAAATCAGTAAATATCAAACATATATTTTTAAAAAACTTACTGTTTAACTATGCATAACAACTTTGTCTATCTTGACTTTTTCCCCAATACACTTCAATGGTGTTTCCAGAATAAGAAACATGCACAGTAATCTACTAACTAGAAGAAGGTTTGTGTATTAAAAGCATAATTGTTGTATCAAGTACTGAAAATGTGTGCTTGATTGACTACATTAAAAAATGCAGTTTTCTTGTGAGTGGTGTAAGAACATTCATTTCTGGGTAGCCTGGCACTGAAGAAATCATATAGTACACCAAGCCATAATAAATTTTTAAAAGTCAATCTTACTACTCAAACATTAATGATAATTAATTATAACAGTGAACACTTAATAAAAGAATAATGTAACACATTAGGAGGCTGGCATTAACAGTGATAGAGATAGGAAACAAACACAGGCTCTGGTAATTCTACAAACAAAGGTAACAGAACTCACACTAACCCAGAAACAAATTCCTCTGACTCAGATGTCCTCCTTTTCAGCCTAGATGCAAGGAGTGTGCTTGTGGCTATGCTGTGGTATTCTGCATATGCTTTAATTTGTCCAAGGATTTTTCTTTAATTTGTCCAAGGATTGCTGTAGCACTGAAAACTAGTTTTCAGGCAATGCCATGGCTTAAACTATATCCTCACAGGCTATACTGGTCTTTTATGGAAAATTTTACGTTTGATTATCAGGATTTGAGAGGCTATGCTGAGTGTTCTGCCTGCTCATGAGGAGGTTTGTGGCTATAGTTCCCATGTGTAGCCCTTTTCATTTTACTTAAGAGTTGTTCCTGAACTTCAGGAACCCACAGGAGCACTATTCAACATGGCCTGATGGGCTAAAGCAAGAAAGCAAAATGGGCAGCATTTCATGTGGAGATGCAGACACACTTTCCACTTGAGCACAGGATTCTTTTGATTTGCAGCTGTCGTCTCTACATACCTTGTCTTATCAACTTGTCTGTGGATGCAGTTTTGGAACCTATGTTTCTCAACAGAAAACCCAAACTCCTTTCCCTTTAGGGATAAATCAAGATGGGCAGCCATATTAGTATGTCTGCTGCAGCAGAAAAGAATCCAGTAGCACCTTAAAGACTAACAAAATTTGTGGTAAGGTATGAGCTTTTGTGAGTCACCGCTCACTTCTTCAGATACAGCTAGAATGTGAGTCCATCTATCCTATATCTTGGAATGTGGAGTGGTTTCAGATACCAAATGACATTAGCAGGCAAATGACAATAGAAGGTGTGATTGGATTAGGTGTGATATGCAGAGAAGTAGTAGGCATGGAAAAATCAGCATTGAAAACTCCCTTCAACAAAGAATTAATAGTCTGACATCAAAACCACAACATTCAAAAACCAGTAGGGGAACATTTTAACCTTCCAGGACATTCAGTTGCTGACCTAAAAGTAGCAGTTATTTTACAAAGGAATTTCAAAGGGAGATTAGAAAGAAAGACTGCTGAATTGCAACTGATAACGAAGCTCAACACAATGCATCCACCTGGACTGAACTGAGACCTAGGTTTCCTGTCTCATTACCAGTGCTGATTTCCCCACGCCTACTACCTCTCTGTATCTCACACCTAATCCAATCACACCTTCTATTGTCATTTGCCTGATAATATCATTCGACATCTGAAATCACTCCACTTTCCAAGATATAGGACAAATGGTATCACATTCCAGCTGTACCTGAAGAAGTGAGCAGTGACTCACGAAAGCTCATACCCTATCACAAATTTTGTTAGACTTTAAGGTGCTACTGGACTCTTTCCTTTCCCTTTAAATAACAGCGTTGCCTACAAAACACCTTTCAAAAGCCATTCTACATTTCTGAATCTCTTTTCAGGTAGTTAATGCTTTTTTAAGTTCAAAAATTACTAGGTAGCCCATCTCTTTAAAAGTTTGTCATAAGCACTATAGTAGCAAATAGTTCAGTAAATGTTTAGTAAAGGAATTATCAGTACAAAAAAGAAGAAAAGATAGTTACCTGAATTCCCCACAGTGCCATTGTTCACCAGTGAGTTTAGAGTCACAGGGTTGTGCCAGTGTCCCTCATGAGAATTGCTGGGGATTCCTACAGGCCTGGCAGCAGGCTGTGCAAAGATGATACTGGGATCATTCAAGTTTACGCTGCTTGGATTACTGGGTGGGTTGCTACTGCCAGCCCTCACAGAAAATGGAACACTTGTAGAATGAGCAGGATTACCCGGTGCAGAGTGAATAACAGGCCACGAGGTGTTAGGAAGTTGAATTTGGTGATGATGTTGGTGATGGTGCATTTGAAATAGTCCCAGGTTATGCAAGGCAGAATACTGACCTGGGGGAGATTGGGGAAAGTTAAACAAAGGCAGCTGGACCTGGTGGGATGGCTGTGCCCCTTGTTGGGGCTGCAGAGCATGCTTGGATTGGGAGATTGGTTGTGGCTGAGTCTGGTTAATGGAGGTTGGTGGAGAGGAATTCTGTGTAAACTGCTGAGGCTGTGGAGAGTAAGATGACTGGCGCGAATCAGACTAGAAGGGGAAAAAAAGGATGTAGCTTGGATTAGTTCACTAAAAAGTGTTGTTTAATCTTCTGATACCTAATAAGGCCTCACTCTCTCACCCCTCTACTGTACCATAACAGTAAACTGAATTCTTTAGTTGTTCACACTCAGTAAGATTTCATTAACAGAGAATCTGACATGTTCATTCTATAGAATAAGTCCTACCATTGAAAATGGTCAGCTGGGACATTACTGGAACATAGCATTACATAATCAGAAATACATCTCCTTTCACTCATTAACGGTATCTTAATTCATTCTCCTTTTCAATTACTCCATACGTTTTTCAGATCTCTGGCTTGATCTGGGATTTTTCAGATGTAATCAGTATATAGCAATTTCAACAAAAGCTTGAGAAAAGGTATGTTAAAACCAATGCTATTAAAACATTTGAGCAGCATAGCAGAAAGTTTCACAAGTATTAAGTACTCCAGCTATATTGCCAACTCACACTGGCTTCATAGACAGAATTACTCACTGAAAAATTATTGACTAAATGGAACTTACACATTCTGATGGCTGTCTGGTACGCAAGGGTCTTTCCCCTTGCTGCTGAATTGATCCAGTCACTTGCTGTGAGTTTACAAGACTTCGGACTAATTGAGCAGCTGAATGACAAAATGTAATGAATGTACAGGTTTATATATTTTAGGAAACCAAACAGATTGTGATCCAAAGCAGTAGTCTGCATTGCAAACAAAACCCCCACATGTAATCAAGACTTTATTTGTTGCAGGGCTTGACAAACCCTAGGTGCCAGGGTAGCTACAAATTTCATTGTGGTGCCAAATATTTTCAGCATTCATTTATTGTAAATGTATCTTGGTGATTTTCAGTAGAAGTACAAAGCTTATTTAGGTAAGGGATAGAAGTTAGCTTTTTGTTGTGGTAACAGCCAGAAGCTACTCCATATTTATTTATGTGCTACAACACTTTTGTTATAGCTTTAAAAAGGACAGGAAGCCATGAAGAATTTAGGATCAGGTTATATGGTAGCAATAATTATGACGTAAACTGCCCCAAGCTCCTGGGAAGAACAGCAGGATAAAAATAAAATAAATAAAATTCTGGCAAAGCAAAAGAGTAAAGCAAAGCCCAGAGGGAGGACAAGAGTGCTACTGTACACATCCACGCTGTTGTTTGATAAATGGTAAGTCACAATGTTTTCTACAGACAATTCAGAAACATTAAAATACAAAATTGGGGGGAGGGAGGTGATTCTGTTTTACCTGCAATACCATTGCTTCTTTGTCTTGTTTGTTTGAATTCAGGACAATCCCTTCTAACATGTCCAATATCCCCACAGATAAAACACCTCTTTTCTCTTGTCTCTCTGTCTTCCTCCTTTACTTCTTTTTCATCTTCTCTCTCATTCTCCTTTTTCTTCAACCTAAAAGGGAAAAAGTACTAAATATTACTTTGAAATAGCATTGAAAATGTACAACTGTGATACAGAAAAGGGCAGCAGAAAGAAGACAAGCAGAGAATTTAAACTCAACTAAGATAATATGAACTCTGCTAAACACAATTGATGTCTACAATATTCAGGAGGCACTGCAAACACAACATAAGTTCCAAATCTGGTTTTGCTCTTTTGTCTGAAGCAACTGGAGGTTGAAATGTTGTGAAGGGAGGATCAAAGCTTAAGTGGCAGGGGAAAGTTCCCTGAAATGATGCAACTGACTGCTTATATTTTCTGCACCTTTACCCTTCAAGGCAAAGGACACCCATAGTGTTATTCAGCATACCAAGATTACAAAGCAAGTGCCATGTAATTCAGCTGCAGTGCTTGGCACTGTTTTATGCCACCTGTTATACTCAGGGTAAAAGCTGTGTCAAGGAAGGAACTGAACACATGATTTTCAACCAATGGTTTCAAAATGAACAGGTGAAAGGATGTAGTGCAGTGTTTGAGGCAAACAAAAGGAATATACTCCTCATTTATATTCAGCATAAAATGGTTTTAAATTACAGGTGTGCGCATTCTCCCAACCTCCTCCGTTTCGGGCAGTCTTTCATGTAGTGGCCGATTTTGCCACAGACACGGCAGCATCTGTCATTGGGTGCCAGTTCTCCATCTGTTAATACCTTCGAGTTGAAAAAGTATTCCTAGAGGGAAAAGGTACATTATTACTCTACAAAAGCTTCCTGTCATCACTTTCTGCAAAGAGGAAATGAAAGAAAGCAGAGGCATATCGGAAGAAACAAGGCATGCATTAAGAAGGAAATATGCAACTTATCACCTCCAATCACTTGAATTCTATGATAACTAAAATTTAAAAATCACCTATCAAATGTTTTCATATTTGCATTCATTCAGCACACATCAGTAATAAAAGAAAGTTAACAGTGGTAGAGGGTATGTTTATTTTTGCAAGTAATGCAAAATTATGAAACTATGGCTTGGATCCACTGGGGTGTGTCTTCAAACAGAAGTATTTCTGCACGCAGAGGATGGCTCCCCCCACAGTCCTAAATGCCCCCCCAAATTCTGCTCTTAGGGGATCCCCCAGGAACAAAGAACAAAACTGCAGCTACGTTTTAAATACAGCTAGGGTTTAAAAAACACAGGGGATCCAATTTTAAACTAAATCTAAAATCTTAAGCTAGTTCTCATAGTCTTTAAAGAGGGTTTTCCCCCTACAAGAAAACAAGCAGTTACATACTTCCTGTAACTGCTGAGGCTATTCAATTAGTGTCTCCTTTAATCCAAGCCTAGAAGGGCAAAATTAACATTTGAAATTAAATTAGCATTTGAAATAAAAGCCAACTCTTATTTGATCAGTTCCCAATCAGCAATATCTAATGTTAATCAACCAGAGGGTGATTCACTCATCCTTAGGGTTGCCAGGGCCACTATCCATGCCAGCAGCGGGTGGGAGGAAACTTTCTGGGAGCGGAGCAGAGTGATATGCTGACATCACGCAGCAGTGACATCACCACGTCAGGGACGTCACATGGCAATGTTGCTGTTTGGAGGTGGGGTTTTCCTCAGGCTTAAGCCACAAGAACTGGGGGATCCCCTGCTCAGAACTCTACATCCTCCTCCTTTATTGGTTAGCTCCCAATCAGTGTGATTGGCTCCAGTGGGGGGTGGAGTTTTGACCTAAACTATGTATTTAGGGTTCCTACGAACAGGCCCTAGTTCTGCAAAGTAGCAGGCCCTGCTCCAGTGACAAAGTGTCTGGAAAAAGGGAATAAACAGGCGAGTTTAGCAAATGTCCGAGTTCAGCAGCAGGGTGAGGAAGTCATGGCCAATGTTCCCTCTAAGCTGTGGAGTCCTGTGAGCAAATATTCTACTTTGTGAGCTGCTGGAATTAAAGTTGTGAGCGAGTGATTTGGCTGCTGCATCATTTAGTTTGCTCTGGAGCCATCCTTCCTGAGCAAAGACAAAAATGTTTGAGCCGGAGGCTAAAAAACTGTGAGCTAGCTCACACTAATTCAGCTTAGAGGGAACACTGGTCATGGCACTAGTTTCTCCATGTCCCTAAAAAGGTTAAGCACACTTTCCACAAATAAATCTACATAAATAGAAAACTTACAAAAAAAGGAGTCAAGGAGTCCAAGCCTGAACCCCATGGGTTCCCAGGACTACTGTACACAATAAATCAGCCTTTGATAAAGTATATGAAGTTTTATTAAATACTTAAAGAATAAATTGATTTCTAGGCAACACAAACTCTTAAAGCCATACAGCTGAAAAAACAAAGAAGCTACCTTTTCTAATACTAGTATTACATGGCACAGGTATTAGATGGCACAATCTTAAAGTCCAATAGAGAGGCTTAAGTGTCCTCTATGTAGCTGTTTGTTGCAACGCAAATCTAACATAGTCCAGGCCTCAGTCTGCCAAAATCATGAAGTTAGTATGGTCTCTCTTTGGCTTCTAGCCCAATTATAGTCTCGAGCCATCTGGTGTCAGGTGGTGGTCTAAATTCAATCAAGGTATGTTCTCACTGAAACCCATTACAGCACCGCTCCTGCCTCCCCCCTCCCATCCAGCGGACCACAGATTTCCAAGAAGATCTAATTACCACATTCATGACTCTGGCCTTTGAGATGATAAGAGCCATGTAGGCAGAAAGGCCCAATTACTGATACCTGCAAGCTTGGATAGGCCCATTACTATTCACATTAACCCTTGGGAGGAAACGGGTGCTTTGTCTCACAAAAGGGGATTTAAAAAAAAAGCAATTAAGGAGGTAGAATGCCAGCTAACTTTTGATGGGGCACCGCCAACGCCGAAGGTGAAGACCCTAGGGGTGTTCCTCCATTGACTATGGAGGCCCAGGTCACTGCCACAGCCAGGTCTGCCTTTTTTCATCTCAGGCAGGTTAGGCAGTTGACCCCATACCTCACCCCCCGCAATCTGGCTGCAGTGATCCATGCAACAGTCACTTCCATATTAGATTATTGTAATTCTCTCTACATGGGGCTTCCCTTAACTCTGCTCCAGAAACCACAGCTAGTGCAGAATGCAGCGGCATGGGTGTTGATGTCATTGCCAGTGTGGGCACATATCCGCCCGGTGCTGCATGACCTATACTGGCTGCCTATTGAATTCCGAATCTGTTTCAAGGTGTTGGTGCTCACCTTTAAAGCCCTTATACGGCCAGGGGCCCACATATCTTTGAGACCGCCTCTCCCTACATGAGCTCCATAGAACATTACGTTCTACCAATGAACACATCCTTGTAGTCCCTGGCCCAAGGTATGTCTGACTTGCCTCAACTAGGGCCAGGGCTTTTTCGGCCCTGGCCCCTGCCTGGTGGAATGAGCTACCATATGAGATCAGGACCCTGCGGGACCTATTACAATTCCACAGGGCCTGTAAAATGGAGCTCTTCCGCCAGGTCTTTAGTTGAGGTGGCAGGCATCCAACTGATTAGGCCTTACCCCCAGTGACTGCAGATCCTGGAAACCAGACTGGAACCATATTATTTGCCGTTGAGATGCGTTGTTGTTTAAGGCAGATGTTTTTAATGATGATCTTATGGAGTTTAAATGGAGTATTTTTAATATGTTTTTAATATTGTAAATCTGTATTAATTGCAGATATATATATGCTGTTACCCACCCTGAGCCCACAATGTGGGGAGGGTGGGCTATAAGTTTAATGAAATAAATAAATAAATAAATTCTCAGAAGTGCTGCCTGTTCCACACGCAGGGCCAGCCAGATAGGCCCAGATTCGGAGTCTCAATGCATGGATTGACTATGGTATAAGGAGGAATGGTTTAAGATTGTTAGGCACTGGGATGGTTTTTGGAACAAGCAGGACCTGTACAAAAGAGATGGCCTCCACGTGTCCGGAGAAGGAACCCAGGCTGCTGGTGCTTAAAATCAAAAAGGTGGCAGAGCAGTTTTTAAACTATATCTTGGGGGAAAGACAACAGGAAATGAAATGTTTCTGGTTCAGGATGGCTCATCTCTAAATTGTTACTGTTCTAGATGGAAATGGATTAGGACTGGCCACTGAGAAGGTGACAAACAATATTGACTACCTGACGAGGCCTAGAGGCCACAGTAGGAAGGTTGTGGGCCTAATGTGTCTGGGAAATTATAGATCATAAATGATATACAAATGCTGTAAGTGTCCGAGGTAAAATTCGGGAGCTGGAATATTTAAGTATCAGAGGAGAATGTAGACATTGTGGGCATTTCAGAAACTTGGTGGGATGAGAATAATCAGTGGGATACAGTGATTCCTGGATATAAATTATATTGAAAGGATAGGGAGGGAAGGGCTGGAGGTGGAGTGGCTCCATATGTCAGAGAGAGTATATAGTCCAGTAAAACTGAGAATCTAAGAGAAATAAATTCACTTACAGAAATGCTATGGGTGTGCCGAACAGGTAGCTTGACTCTGTGAGTTTATCACCCACCAGATCAAAGATTAGAGGATTATTTAAAGACAGCAAAAGAATTAAGGAAAGCATCTAGACAAAATAACTGTGTCATAATATGTGATTTTAACTAGCCACACATTGATTAGGTGGGTCAATATGCGTTCAAGCCAGGAGAAAGAGATTAGGTTTCCAGATACTCTCAGACCAATTCTGCACTGACATTTTTGTCACTCGCTTTCCCCTATTGCTTTGGGTCCCGTCCCCCCTTTTCCACATGTGTTTTGCTCTCTCTGGGACTACTAGAGAGAGCAAAACACTTTGGGGTGGGGGAACCCCCCTGAAGCAACAGGGACAAACGAGTGACAAAAATGTCAGTGCGGAATTGGTATCAATGACTGTGCCATGGAGCAGATGGTCACAGAACCTACCAGGGGGAGGTGATCCTGTATCTGGTCCTAAGAAATGCTAAAGACCTGATGAAACATGTGAATGTAATAGCACCAATTGGGAACAGAGACCATAATGTTAATGTTAGCATTATATAAATAGGGAGTTGCCCCAAAAGACCAAAACAACCACAGTTAACTTTAGAAAGGGTAACTTCTCTCAAATGAGGGGGGATTGTGAAGAAGAAACTGAAGGGAAAGGTAAGGAGGGTTAAATCCCTTTGGGAAGTTTGGAGAGTATTTAAACCTACAATCCTGGTGTAGTGGTTAAGTGCACAGACTCTAATCTGGGAGAACTGGGTTTGATTCCCCACTCCTCCACTTGCAGCTGCTGGGAGAACCGGGTTTGATTCCCTTCTCCTCCACTTGCACCTGCTGGATGACCTTGGGCAAGCCATAGTTCTGTCAGAGCTGTTCTTGAAAAGAACAGCTTCTGTCAGAGCTCTCTCAGCCCCATCTACCTCACAGGGTGTCTGTTGCAGGAAGGGGAAGGGGAAGGAGTTTGTAAGCCACTCTGAGACTCCGCGTGAAGGGTGGGGTATAAATCCAATCTCCTCCTCCTCCTCTTCTTCTTCTTCAAATAAAAGGCACAAATAGGTATTTAACAAAGCCTGCATGGTTAACAAAGTAATGGAAGTAGTAAAAGCTAAGAAGGATTCCTTTAAGCAGTGGAAGACTACTCCGAGTGAGGTAAATAAAAGGCAGCACAGTCTGTGGCAAATAAAATGCAAGTCAGTGATCAGACAGGCAACAAAAGGACTATGAGGAACATACTGTGAAAAATGTAACGATCAACAATAAAAATTTCTTCAAA